TGCTTTTCCCTTATGCATTTTGAATGAATATTTTTTTAACTTTGCCAATAGTTTTTCTAAAATATAATATAAACATTTTGTAGAAAGATGTTAATTTTTTTTATAATATAAGAAAATTCAAAAAGCTGAAGACCAAATTGAAGCAGAATTATTCAAAAAAATTAAAAGGAAAGTAGGTCCAAAGCGACAAAAGATTCAAAAAAACCATTAAAAAATTTGAAAAAGTAAGAACAACGATTTCATCAAGGGATCAATTAGTAGTATGTACATGAGAAAAAAATTAAAAGGGAAATTATTGATGAATTTTAAAAGCCGAAAAAAGAAGGATCGAGAGAGAGAAAAAAAGTTGTAAAATTAAATTTGTAAATAATTTTTTATTGTTAATAACATAATAAAATGGTTCAGTATATAATTTTTTACCCTTTTTAGTTTATTAATTTCATTTCTATTACTCACATCAACATTATTATTGATTTACAACCTAATTTTTAGGGTGTCCGAAAACTAACATTTTCGGTTTTTTTTAGAAATTCCTCTTAAAATAGCTGAAAAAATTATTTTAGGTAAAAATAAACATATGCATTAGAAAGAGCAGAAAATTTCCTAAAAGATGGTATATTCAAAAAAAATTTTTATCAAACGAGTAAGCTCCCCCAATCGATTATAATAGGAAATTTCCTTAAGTGTCCGATAACTGGCTGGTTTACCCTATATTGGAGTTTGAGCTTTTCGTATCTCCCAATTCCGCGTTTTGCGCATACCTACGATATTTACACTGCGTTTTTGCGCCACGCGCTAAAACGCAGCCAAAACGCTCTACGTAGAGGCAGCCAATGAATTGCTAAAAACTTGGTCTCTAAAGTTTAGTAAGTTTTTATTGGCATCATAGTTGATATACATTGCCATAGCGCTAACTTGGTCTCTAGTAGTAGTAGTGTATTTTTTTTAACACTGCGTGCGCGAAACACGGGCTTTCTAACCTTGAAGCGTCAGAAAACCCTAGTTTCTCGCAAGCAGAGTTAAAAAATATCGTTTGCAACTAGTCCGCGAGGAAGTTGACTCACCCAGGAGTCTTTGCACCCTCGCTACGCTCGGGTGAAAACAACTCCTGGGTGAGTCAACTGCTTCGCGCACTTGTTACAAAATATACTATATTGGACTTGATCGTATGATGATACATTGCCAGAACACTATATACAGATGGCGCTTATACATATAATACATTTTGGTGGACAAAATTTAGAATTCAAACATATCTGAAACTTAAACTATAGTAAATCTGAGGTGCATCTGGTAAGATGTCAGAGAGAATATGATACTACACATTAATATGTATTCAATATGGAATATAAGGGTATTAATAATGATAATTAAATTTTTAAATTAATATGGCACAGAAAGTCTGTAATCGGAATTAAAGTTTCGGCTTTAAGCCTAGAGATAAATGCAATTGTAGAGTAGGGTTCGTGATAATTGTTTTTCTTTAAGTTATCGATCAATTTCAGTCTTTCTTTGTCAAATTTTTTACATTTCCATAGAACATGGTCTATGGTGTCTTCAGTTTGACCATGACAGTCACAATATTTGGTATTCGTTATTTTAAACCTCCCAAGACTGCTGTTTAGTGACGTATGATTAGATCTTATTCTATTTATTATTACAATGGCTTTCCTAGATAAATTTTTAAAATCGGTGAACCACAACTTAGTGCTAGCTTTATAGTAGTTTTCAAAGAAGTGTTTACCCTTGTCGTGTGAGTTGTTTAATATGTCGTTCAAATCGGCTCTAATGCACTTAAGTTTTATGTCATTGAAAATATCAGAGTACGGAATCTCTGTTTGACTGTAGGCTATTCTCGAACTCGCCCCCGCCCTCGCAGCAGAATCTGCATGTTCATTGCCGGTGATGCCAGTGTGAGACGGAATCCAGATGAAATTTACTATCTTATTTTGTATGTTTAAATTGTAAATTTTTTCTTTTATTTTAGTAATCAGTGAGGACTCTGTTTTTGAACTAGATGGCGAGGACAGTGCTTTCAAAACAGATTCTGAATCGGAAAAAATTCTAAAATTGTAGGCGTCACAGTTACTTATTTTGTCCAATGCGGCAGAAATGGCAAGAGACTCCGCTGTGAAGATTGAGGCGAGATCGTGAATCCTGAAAGCGAACTGAAAGGATTCGTGTGACGACCAGGCTGCAAAACCCGTGCAACTTACATTGCCATTTTCATTTTTTTCCTCCAGAGACAATTTTGAGCCGTCCGTAAAAATATCTATACAATCGTTATCACAGTTATTATTGAATTTACTTATAAATGCCATATTAGGGTCATCTGATTTTCTTATTAATTTTCCAGAAACGAGGTCTATTGGTGGGTCGACGAATGCGGACTTGAAGGGGCTGCAGTAGTGATAATGTCGATCAAATTGATTAATAGAGAGATTGTAAAACCATACGTCGTCATAGCATTCCGAAAGCAGCGATTTTTGGTGATTGTTTGAGTATATAAGGGTTTCGGAGAGATCTTTGATACTTTCTAGTTGATCAATTATACGATTATTGTACATTGACATTTTTTTAAGGACGTAGTTGTATCCAAGAGTTTTGAATCTACAAAACAGAGAGGGAATCTTAGTTTCGGCAGCAATTACGTTCAGCGGGGTGCTATTTCGATAGCCCATTGCAATACGCAAGCACACGTTTTGCAACTGTTGCAGCCTGTCAAAATTGCTCTTTGAGCACGGCTGTGTCAAAAATCCACAATATTCAAACCTGGAACAGACGAGAGATTTGTAGAGCATTAACAGGACTTGTGGGTCGGCACCCCACCAAGTGCCTCGTAGGCAACTGAGTATGCTCACTGTGTTTCGCGATTTCATTATAATTTGATTGATATGGGCCTTCCAATTAAGCCTCTTACCCCGACGGAAATTTTTCTCACGAGAAAGTTTTACAAAGTCTAAAAAAGTCTAAAAATGTCTTAAAAAGTCTTACAAATGTTCAGATTTCGCACACCTGATTGATAATTTTAAAGAGTTAATAAGAGTTTTTGAAAATTCATAAAACCTTTTGGAGACTCAATTTTTTAGAAAAAATGTTAAGATTTTTTTTTCATTTTTTTTTTTCTATATTGTTCATATAGTTGCTTGTATAGTTTTTTCACCGTGACTTTTGGTGAGCGTGGATACCGATCAAAAAAGTCTTTAAGAATATTGAAAACTTTCATCAAAACTATATAACTCTTAATAACTCTTCATAACTCTTTATAAAAATTATTGTAACTTGTAAATATTTTTTAAAATTCAAAAAGGGATTGCCTTACCCGTCTGAATATTTCTATTTATATCATTTAAAACTCTTATAAAGTTTTATTAACTCTTAAAAATCATGGTACGAAATCCGAACATTTATAAGAATTTTTAGTACTTATTTAGACTTTTAAAGAGTTTTTAAGAGTTTTTAAGAATTAGAGTGGCGCTGAAATTTTCGTAGGGGTATCTAGGGTCACTCCTAAAAACTTAACAGATTCCGATGGGAAGATGGTGGAATCATTGACGTTAAGTGAATGGAGTCTTATTTTTTTCGAGCTTTTATTGAATATGAAACTTGGTCTCTTGGTTTAGTAAGTTTTTATTGGCATCATAGTTGGTATACATTGCCATAGCGCTGCTGAAAACTTGGTCTCTGGCACAAAGTGAACGTCAGTGACATCTGCTTGAATCTGCTCGTGTTTCAATTGAAGTTACCATTCATCGCTCCATTATCGATCGAGTATAAATATACAAATTAATGAACCATAGTATTTGACTGTCACAGCAGCAATGGCCGCGGCATGTCTACTTGTAATGATCACTTAGCTAATGAGAAATAGGAGCGTAACTAAGTACAGATAAACAAAACATATAGTTCATTAAGATTTAGAGAACCGGGAAGGTCATGTTTTGCATCTTTGTTTAGTTATGATCAAATGATAACCTGAAATGGGAATCATTTTAGAAGGGCTTCCAGTAAGTCAACAGAGTTGTAATACTTCGTATCAAGACATGACATGCAGAAGCTAAAAAAGCGACATCTGCAGCAAAAATAGCAGCTAATTTAAAATACTGTTCAAATTTACTAGTATTTTAAATTTTTAAATATCATAATATAGCGTATGGTAAAAACATGATTGCCATACGCTAAGTCAGCTTACCAAAGCTAAAAAGTTAATTTCCATTTCTTTTAATCACTCTCATTATGTTTCTACTTAATGATCAATAACTTAATGACCAATAATTGGTAATTGTATAGTGGTAATTATTATAAATTCAATTTACGAATTATTTTAGAAAATTGATTAATAAGTTAATTAAAAAAGAGCCAATGCATGCCGTAAAATTTGAAACTGTCATGTGCTAGGGGGCTTAAAAAGATTCTCGAGGAACTCGGTTAATGATCCAAACTCTCCGTAAAATTGGAGAATGAATGACGAATGAAAGTCAAGACACGAATAAAATTCGAAGTGTTAATGAGACGCCTACACTATTTCAATGTAACAATAGATAAGATTTAATAATACGTAATACATAAAATTCTTCAGATCGTACAGGTCCACTCAAAGAAATACGCCATTTATTATCAAAACAAGCTCTGACAAGTTTGAGCTAGTTGCGCGATCCCGCGATTTCGCACTTCGCATTAGAGAGGCATCATATGAAATTTATACTGGTGCAAATCAGCTTGACCATCCGATGACTGTATACAAGACAGACAAAGCACGATCAGTAAAACTCGAAATTATTGTAATGTTTTTCTGTCATTCCAAGCAGGGGGGGGCGTGAGGAATTAAGTTCAATCTAGTAGTGATGAATAATTTGTTATTTAAGGCACCGCGATCATGAGCCAGGCCATCGGAGAAAATTCTCGCTCACCAGAGGGCGCTGCATTCGACGGTACTCCCACCATGCGCTCACCCTGCTTCGTCGTCTAGCAATCCACTAAACTTGTCTTTAGTAGGCAAACCGTCGAGTCGAACGGACTGCCCAGCGCGAGCGGCTGCCAAGCTATCCCGTGCCAAAAACGACTGTATTGTCAGTGGCGCTAGTGCATCATCGCCAAATATACGTATAGATATACACCTAGTACATCTCTCTGTATGTACACAAGCGTATGTCTATATACATACTTATGTACACAGGTATATAAAAGTATACATATATATATATATATTCGCACAACAGTGCGTCGATAGAGCCCCATCGCTTCAACATAGCCCTATACTGGACTTGTATTACTGCCGAGGTTGCAGCAATTAAGTCTTTTTATCACGAGGTAAGTGCAATTATCGATTTTTTTAGCCCATTCATATATTTAACGTCATTTTTACGTGAAATTCGACGAATGGTTAAATCTATGTGTTATTATATGACAGACAATGACTGAGACATGTTTGCAAAATCGAAAATACGCATGCGTTTGAACGCTAAATGGCGCTGTGTTTAATTAATGTTGCTTTTCGGGACAATCGTTGCGTTTTGTTTTTTTTTCTTTTCAAATGTTCGACCTGATTTCTTATAGTAAGCTTATTTTTTCGCGAATATTTATTTTCGATAACTATTTTATTTTTTTCCCAAATTTTTTATGCTTCATTGTATTATTTTCTAAAACTTGATTCTCCGAAAATTTAATCGCTATTTTTTTCATTAGAAATTTCTCCCTATGTGTTCTTTAAGAATCTTAATTGATATTTTTCCCATAAGTCTTATGTAGTAACTATATCTATTTTATTTTATTGTTAATTTCTTCTGCTTTCGATATTTCGTTAGAAAATATGCATATCAAAAATTTGTTGGTCAATATTTTAATCATATATTTTACATATTTGTCCTTAAAATATGTTCGAAACAATTATTACGTGATTATGAATCATTTTTTATTTTTCTTATTAATGACTATCAAATCCTTAAGTACTAATAGAGAAAAAATTTTAAAATGAGTGAAGCATAATTCGATGCTGTTAAGGAAAAGTAGCACGTTTACATTTGAAAATGTATAGAAACGTGCTACTCTTCTTTAACAGCGTCGAATTTTCAATTAAGCAAATTTATATTTTTTTGTAATAATATATGGGCTAAATCGCGTCAACTGTCCCCCCCCCCCTCATTTTGTTTTGATTTTTCATATGTTATTCTGCTTTCCAAGAGTGAATAAGAAAAAATGATTGAAACATGATTTTTGACATCAAATTTGAATTCCTCATCAAATTTTACATAAAAATCATGTTTCAATCATTTTTTCATATTCGCTCTTGGAAAGCAGAATAAAATATGAAAAATCAAATTACAACTTTGATCCAAGGGGGGGGGGGGGACAGTTGACGCGATATAGCCCATATATACTTATATTTACATATTCTAATTTTATTTATTATTTTTCAGATTTAAAATGTCAGTTTTGGCTCTTGATATTTCTACAAAGATGTCATTACCACCAACAACGCCTACCAAATATAAGAAAAAGAGAAACAGAAATAGAGGCCAGAAGGCAAAAAAATACAAACCTAGTTGTGCACATGTTACACCAAAAAAATTTTTGCTTGGTGGAACTATTTCAGATCCTTTGAATTTAAAAGGATTGAGTAATACTGATGATCAAAAAGTTAATAATACCTCTTCACCAAAGTCCAGTCCTTCAAATGTACAGGGTTCCAATACAGCAATCAATTATCAGCCTTTACCAATACCAATTCATCAAAGTGATCCTTTAAAATTAATGAGTTGTCCAGACGATGAAGAGTATCGAAAACATCCACCTCTACCTCTGCATGATAATCCTCCAACAAGTAAGAAGAAAAATAAAAAACGTAAAAGGGTAATGAGTACTTTTGAAGAGAATGAATCCAATTGTAATGAACAGGTAAATAATGAAAAAACTTTTAAAGAGCCATCAGAGGAAACTCAGGAACTTCCAGCCCAAGTCATTTGTACTCAGTCCAAAGCTTCGGCACCTGAAGATGAATTTAATCGAGCTAAAAAACAAATAAAGCGATTAAAAACACCAATGCCAGAAGATTATATAGTGAGCCCTGTTGTTCCTCAACCAGGGGCTTTTCTATCCAGAACTGTGAAATATCCGAAATTCAATAAAAAAAATGAAAAATTTGAATATGGAAACTATAATAAATACTATGGGTACCGTAATAATTTACAACCTCATGATATCAGGCTAACTGTATTTAGGCAAAGACCAGATTTATTTTATGACAAAGATATTTTAGATATTGGTTGCAATATAGGTACCATCACTGTTGGTGTAGCCAGAACCTTTTATATCAGAAGTATCATGGGTATTGATATTGATAAAAAGTTAATCGATATTGCTAAAAAAACGATCAAAAATTATATACAAGTAAATCAACCTGAATTTGAATCTAGTTTATTTCCTATTTCTATGAGTTTAACTTACGGACCCATTCATCCTCCTAGAATATCTCACAACAGTGGACTATTTCCACATAATATCAAATTTAGTCAAGTAAGTGTTTTCATTTTTTAGTTGATAGATTCATAATTTTATTAAATGATCTGAATAAAAATTAAAATGTGAATATAATATTGATATATTTTATTTTTCAGGGTAACTATGCATTGGAAGATGATTCTGGACTTGAATATCAAAAACCTGAGTATGATACAATTTTGTGTTTATCGGTCACCAAGTGGATTCATCTTAATAATGGAGATGAAGGTTTAAAACGATGTTTCAGGAGAATGTACAAACAATTACGGCCTGGTGGAGTATTGATTCTTGAACCACAAAGTTGGTCTAGTTATGGACGAAAAAAAAATTTAACCGTAAGTAGTTGATAAAAAATGTTCATTATTAAAGAATAATTGTATAATAAAAGTAATTAATTTAACTATTCTCATTTAAGGAACGAATCTATCAAAACTACCGCAAAATTACATTTTTACCGGAGAAATTTACACCGTATCTTCTGTCTATTGGTTTTGAAAAGTGTGAGGAACTTTCCACACCGCCACATCCATTCAAAGGTTTCCAGCGACCAATTTATCTTTACACCAAAAAGAATGAGCCGGAAATGGCAGAGGATGCAGTAGCTGGTCCATCTGCAAAAAGGATATCTGAGGAAGCGGGGTAAGTAGTCAATAGGATCGCAAGAGAAAAATAATTATGAATCAGTAGAGTAAAATGAAAACAAATAGTTTACATATTGAAGTCGACGTTCAGCGCCAGAGCGAGAGAGAGGTTTGTTAGAAAGAGCGTTTCGCGCCAAACTTTCTTTTTGAAAGAGCTGTAATTGTATGGAACAGCGAGAGTCACAAATCACTCTTTCGATCGTCATAAATCACTCTTTGATTCTGAGTGCGCAGTAATGAATGTAAAACTTTTTCAATTGCTTGAAAGGTTAATATTCGGAATAAATTCTTAATAGAATTATTTAAATTTCAGATCTCCTCAAAAAATTTTCCCAGGAAGCGTGCAAAGTGATACTACATCCTTCTATGATAATTTGCCATATATGTATGCACCGGGGATGGGAAATGATAGTCCAATTTACTCAAATTCTCGCATGATGGCGTTTCGAGGTAGATACGATGGTTATTCACCAGATTATTCACCTTACATTCAAGACAGAAGTTATGGCATCATGTCACCTGCACCACGACGATTTGTTTATGCATCGAATGATTCCCCACGTAATAACTGCCATCAATTTCAACCACATACTTCAACCATCGAAACCGATGGTTCTTCACCGTATCAACCGCCCCCATTCGGTATGTTTCATATTTACTTTAGATTTTCATTAAATTTTTTACTGTACTGTTAAAAACAAAGAATTCGTTCAATCTATGCAAAAAAAATTATTTTAATCTATTTTCTTTCCAAAGAGTTACCGAAAAAGGAAGAGCGGGCTCCTGGAACCTCTTCAAATTCTCCGAAAATTCCAGAAATGGAAGCAGGAGCGACCAAGTGTAAGCCACCAAGTCCAGAAATGGAAGGAGACGCGGCCAAGTTTAGTCCACCAAATCCACAAATAGAATCAAGAGAAATGATTCTTTCAAGGAAATCTACCTCTGAGAATCAAACGAACAAAGATGAATCATTCAACGCTCTGAATGAAGTTGAAGATCAAAGATGAACAGTATGGCTTTTATTCAAATTAAAAACAGTGAATCCCTATTTTACGTTATTAATCTGCGAAAGTGAATTTGTAAAATATATCCGATATCATAAACATTGAATCGCAGTTATCGGGTCTCGATAATGATCACTATTGTAATCTTTATTCCATAATCTCGATTATTAACCCCTTAGTTAGTTCTTTGTTGAAATTATTGAATAGTGTAACTAAAATAAACTCCCTTTGATTATAAATGTATTAACCATTACAGATAAATGTACACAAAGCAAACACTTATTAGATGTAAAATGAAGAATCCTTCAGTAGTTATTCAGTAGTTAAGATATTTAGTTCTAAATGAGATACGACTTAATAATTAAAGTATGAATGATACACATTACTCCGTCGTTTTTTTCTTTGAGTTTATCCATTCGTTATGTTTGCTATATTTTGTTTACAAGAATCGAAAACATTCCTGTGGAACAGAGTTTGGCTAAATATATAAGTAATTCACCTTATTTATCGATATAGTTTTTTTATTTTCATTTAAGAAGGCTTATGCATAGTAATTATATAATAAGATTTGGATTATGAGGTGCATTATTTCAGAATGTATGGATGTGTTAGTCTAAGTTTGTGTAGATATTAGGAGTACATCATTTTGCTCGACGTAATTGTGAATATTTTTTATTCTCTGAGTAAAATTATTTTTAATCGTCTATCTGCGTTGACCTGCAACAGCATGAACACATCTACATTTTCAATAATAATGAGTGCTTTTGCCAAAGAATAGGGTTGAGTTTGAGAATTCAACAAAATTCTTAATTTTATTTTTTAATTATAGTAATTTCATGAACAAAAAAGTTTCTTTAAATGTGATATAATTTTAGATGAAAGTTGGCAAAAAAAAACATTAACGTAACATCAAAGTCAAGTATTAGTTTAGGCATGTGAGATGTAAATTGAAACTCAACTCTATTCTTCACTTGTTTCATAAAATTGTCACTATTAAAGTATTATACTAATTTCACAAGATATTATCCATATGTTTGAATTACTATTAAAAAGAGACGCCAGCGCCTCGAATTGGAGAGGATTACTCTTTCATTTTATTTTACTGCTGATACAGTCATTCTAATATTTTTAGCGTTCATACAATCACATTTGCTTTGTAATGATTTTTCTGTATCAATTGTACAAATTTTCTCATTACTAATGCCGCTTATTCATTATGCATTTTTCTAAGTTCAATAATATAAATGAATTTTTAGTTTTTTTTTTTTTTTTTTAACGTTTGATTTTTGGATTATGATTTTTCAAATCATTCATCTGCCCGAATGATTTTGCAATCAAATTGTTAAATACTATGTAAATTTTAATCTACGTTGTACATTAAAATAAAATATATAAAACATCACAATGTATTTGGAAAAAATGTATATGCGGCAAAATTTAAGTAACCAGTACTCTAAATGATGTCTCTCAGTACTGTTCGTAAAATAAACATATTGGAATACAAGATTTTGCTGGTATTTGATGACTTGATATTTTATTTAACCATGACCGACTAGATAAACAATGGAGGAACAACTAATATTTATTTTGTAAGTTTTGCAAAATATAAGTTATAAACATCAAACTTTCAACCGTTGAAAGAAATTATGATCATTGTAAGTATGTACAAAATTACACAGCGTCTAAAATGGAAAATATATAAATATATAAATAAGTTAATTAGTATTTAACTACTCAATTTTGTTGAGTTTTTCGTTGCAATAATTGATTGGAACTTATGTTTTAAATTTCATAAGTAAACATGAATATTAAAATGACCTTATGTTTGTATTCGCTTGTGGTAAGTTTGACAATTTTTATGATATTTTTAACAAATAAATTCGCAATGTTTACTTTGGTTTATAATAAAAATACTCGGAGGGTATAGATGAAAGAGTTACACGTGGTTATTACACTTCGTACAATCATTATGAAAGTATCGAATACATTTTCCTTTTTGCTGTTTGTATGCAAAATACAAGAAAGACAAAATAAAAAAATATTCTTATAAAAATGTTCGAGCATCGTGCGAGCATTTTTATTGAAATTCATATTATTTATTCGATAGCGGATATTCGCACGAACTTTTTCGTCTTGAATTTATTTCATTATCTGTTGTAGATGTAATGAATGTTGAGAGGAGCGATAGGAAGAGAAGGGACTTGATATTACATTAAGAAATACTAGGACAGTATTTTAATTTGGATTAGTGGGCACTGGAATATTTGAAATTATGGTGGGGACCACAGGCGGTGCACATCAATTATCTCGGCTAATCAAGTGGCGGTAGCGTATAATACACCAATATGTATACTTTTGCCAGTCAACGCGTTTCTAATAACAGCTTCACGCAATATCGATCTATATAAATATGGGTGACTTTTCACCCGACCTCAATCAATCGCTCGACCAATCGAACAAATTGCTTCGATATTTTTTTTACACAAATTATTGTTATGACGCTCTTACGATTGACAACCAAATATTTTACACGATTGAGTATTCCAAAGTACATTCATCGAAGCCAACTTTGTAATCGAATTATTTACACGAAAAGAGGCGAAAATTAATTGCATATAAAAACGAAACGACGGCTGAAAAGTAATCGGTACGATCGAGTCCAGTTATTGTCACTCGACAGGCTCGTTTTTAGCGCTGCACAAATTAATTCGATAAAGTTAAGCAGCCTATCTACGCGTGGTACAATAACATGGAGGATTTCTCGGTCTCTCTCGCGAGAATTTATACACTTCAGGGACATATGTATACGGGCGAGTAGCTCGTGGGCGTGGTGCGCGACTCGGGCTACTCGTCGACGAGCTCCCAGAGCATGAGGGCCGCGTCTGTTCCGCCGACGGTCACGACGTTCTGGTCGTTGTAGAGGAAACGGGCGCAGGCCACCAGCGAGCTGTACACCTTCTCCTCGACGTACTCGCTCTTGGCGCTCGTGCACGGGTAGCGGAAGAGGCGCAGGTAGCCCTCGGCGTCGCCGCTCACCAACATGTCGTGGGCCGCGGACCGGCTCGAGGTCGTCACCACCGTCGTTAGCGGATAGTAACGATTGTTCCACATTCCTGCGACGACAAATTCAATTGGGTTACTCTTCGATCTTATTTTTGTAAGGCAACACCGGGGCTGCGGCTTTGGCTTTACTTACCGGATACCATGTAGCCAACTGTGCAATTGTGCGTGTACCACTTTACGTCTTTCATGATTAAGGGACTCTTTTCCGAGGATAAGGCCTTGACATCCCCTACGAAACGAGATTAGATTGTAGTGGTTAATTATCGTTGGAAAAATAACGTATAGACTTACAGAAAACGAGGTCGTAGTCTTGAGTGACAGTTTGTAAAAATCGACTGTCGGAGCTCCAGTCGAGCTGCACAAGCGGCTGCGTGCCTCGGATTTTGTTGCTCTTTTTGTACGAGAAACCGTCTCTCGACACTCGGAACAAATAAATACTTCCGTTTTGCGAGCCCATAGCTACCATCTCGCCAGCTAAAAAGCAGCAAATATTTATCGCCGTTAAAACAATTTTTCAAAGTTATTTGTGGTTTATATGAAAAAATAATATTTTCCTAAAGAATAAATCAAAGCAAAAAATTTATTTGCTTATATTAGGTATTTTAAAATAAAAAATACTCATGAAAAAACATAATTAATATTATCTCATGAGTAAAGCTATTGTGTGGTTTGATCAAAAAAGATGTTTGAATAGAAGTTTAATGAGCCAAGATCATCAATCAAGTCCACTCAACACCAAAGAAACATAATAGGCGCATGTGAGGCATGTAATAGATGTAACAGATGCCGACACTTGAAAAAGTGAAAGTAGGTAAAATGTTACACTAAAAAAGTGCTGATGAGTAATTACTTTCTCATTATTACAATCTGAATAAGGTATTTATGAGTGGGCGTGGCTGGTCGAGTGTGAACAGGATATAATGTGACGACAGCAACATCATTTGAATAAAAGCATTAATACATATTGTATTGCATTGTAATGCGTAGCTTCTATTGTGGCTGCGATGAGTATCCAAATAATACCTAATACTTCATTGATTTATGAGCAGATAAAAACTTTCAACTTCTATAGGGTACTTATACCATTGATTGACCGCTTTCGACCAGTAAATGACCACTTTTGGATGTGCAATAATTATCGTTTTTCCTTATTAAATTATGATCAAACATAGAAAACAAGATGCATCGTTCACTAAAAAATTGAATTACAACCATACAAATATATTTTAAATTGTTTTTCTTTTGATATTTTCCAAAATGGTCATTCACTGGTACCCGGTCATTGATTAGTCTGACTACCCGATTAGTATAACGACGCTTTACAACTAAATACTACATGTCTCAATCTGCTTTTATTTAAAAGTTATTTAAACAAATTTGCCGGGAAACTTTAATTTAAACTTTTACGCGTTTTTCGATGACATGATTTTTTTCACGAGTAGAAGTTAGTTTGTAACAAATAACAAATATATCAGTTGGTTTGAATCAAATTTAGAAAAAACAACTCTTAACTTTGTGTAAGTACTCTTAGTCTATCCACGAATCACTGATCATATTTTTATTACGCAATTAGTCCTACTTAATCTTTTTGCGTTGCTGCTTTTTCAATTGCAGGCCCAAACGCTAGTATATCCCCCCGAATGAAATGTTGTCCCAATAGGTGCAGATTTCTCGAAAAGTCAAAAGAAGCTTCGGTATAGATAGAAAGCTGCCGAGCTCACTTGGATTGTAACCGATGCAGGAGAGAGGCGAGCCGCAGACGCGCAGCGTAGCCACGGCCGCGCCGGTATCGGCGGCCAAGACCAGCAGATGACCCTCGGACGAGCCGGCGGCCAGCGCCACGCCGAACGGATGGAAGGCGATGCAGATGCACTCGAAGCCGACCTGCGTCGTCCACAGGAGCTTGTGACGGCGCCACAGGGCGATGTTCTTGTCGTGGCCGGCCGTGGCGAAGACCTCGTCGTCCGGGTGCACCGCCAGGCCCCACAGCTGACGGCCGTGGCCGAAGACGACCTGATTGAAGCGCCGCTGCAGCGAGCCCTCGAGGATGTTGTTGCGCGTCGTGCCGACGTAGATGTTGCCGTCGTTACGGCCCGGCCGCTGCGGGTAGATGCTTCGCACTCCGCCCGCCGACTCCGGCAACTGTTGTTTACCAAATCAAATTACCAAATCAAGTACATCGAATTACCGAGGCGAGCTGGATCATTGTTAAATCGGATCACGAATTCGTACCTTGGTGTCGGTGATGCGCTTGTAGTTCTGCAGCGAGTCCCAAGCGGCGATTTTCCGATCCTTCTCGCCTCCGGACAGCAGAGTGCCCTCGGACAGCATGACGAGCGAGCTGATGCCCTTGTTGTGCGCCTCGAACTCCATGCGTATGAAGTAGGCGCCGTCCGCGTCCACCGAGTAGACCGTGATGAAGCCGTCGCTGTCGGCCGTCACCACGTCCCCGTCCTGCTCGAACTGGACGCTCGTCACGTGCGTTCGAGACGGCTGCCGACGCAGAACAAACCAGTTTTTCATCCTCCTGCTTAGCTATAAAATTACCTCCGTTCTCTACTTACAGGTTTGATGATGTCCGTTCGCTCGAAGAAGCCGTCTTTGCGACGATTCCAGAATGTCAAGTGTCCTTTGCCGTGGGTAATGAGAAGATTATCGTCGAGCGGATGAAACGCTGCTCCCGTCAAATCCTCTTGAAGAGTCTGCAGAAATACAAAAATCGACGCTGGAGAATCGGCTGCGATAATAACGCGAAAATAAGCGACGCGACTGTACTTACGGCAACTTTGCCCAAGAGGTGGCCCCATTGCCATTGCCAAACGGATAGAATAGCTTCCCTGCCCGCGTCCACGACCAGTACGTAGCTGCCGCCGTTCTGTCGATAGACGAGCGATTGAATTTCACGCCTTCTTCGCGCGTTAAAAAATGAGCACTGCGTACTCACCAGCTGGGAGAAGGCGAGCGCCGAGACGCCCATCTGGAACTCGGTCATGCCGAACACGTAGAGGGTGAGCAGAGTCTCGGTCGACCAGATCCTCACGTGGGGCTGGGCCTTCCTGTGGCGGCCGGCCCTCTGGCCCGAGGCGACCAGCTCCCGGCTCGGGTGCACCTCCATGCAGGTGATGTCCTCGGTGTGGCCCACGTAGTGGCGCTGGGCGTTCTCCTCGCGGTCGTACAGCACCGCCACGGCGGCCACGTAGTAGAGCAGCTCGCCGCTCGGCAGCACCCACAGATTTCGCCGGGTGTCGGTGCCCCGATAGCCGTAGACCCACTCGAGGGCGAGCTTCTTGTCCGGGGGCGTGTTGTCGACCGGCGGCAGATGCGACGGCGGATAGAACGAGCGTCGCAGGCCTCGGATGGTGACGCGGGCCGGCTCTTCGCGCAGCACCTCCACCACGCTGTAGTCTGTAGTCGTGCAAAACGTCCAGTAAATACTCGCTAATCGCTCCTCGATAATACCATTTTCTCTATTTACAAATCAAGCTGTAGTCTTTTTACACGCATCAAAAATCAGTTTCTGTTTTGTTTTTTTTTTTTTTTTTTTTTTTTTTTTTTTTTTGGCCTATGGTTGCACACACATGTATATTTGTACAGCAGCATCGTCGTAATGGCAGAGTGAAGAAAAATTAGCACATTCGAAGTATATTACACCAGACGTAGTGGAGTGATGGAACGAGAAAACCAACAGAAACCATGAAAAAAAAAGTGAAAAAAAAAATGGAAGAGAAAAAGTATCCCAAATTGGCAAAAAGCGGTAAAAATGCGACTGCGCTGTAGCGGCAAAAAACACATTATATGCATGTCAAAAAACAAAAAACCAAAATTGGTCGGATCGTCAATAGCGTACCGTTGATTGTGTACAAGGACGGCGAGGATGCCTGATATCCTACACGTCGCAGTACGGGTTGATAATTTGGCCTGATTATGATTTCGCGATCGTCGATGCCCAAAATACTCTGTACATCTATATCGTAGGATATTTTCACAAAATACAATACAGAACTCTATGTGTGACAAAAAAAAATAAAATGCTGAAAGCGCCCCGAATAGGGCAAAACACAATTGGAGCTTTCAAGAGGGACGTTGATAAAAAAAGTCAAAGCTCTCGTAAATATGTTCAGTCCAAGATTTACCAGTGGCGACGGGTTGGATCGAAAATTTTGCAGATCGACGCCCGAGACTCGGCGCTGCAGCTGTTCTCTCTATATACGAAACGTTGTACGTTTAGGTAGGATAAAGACTTACCGTTGACTCGCACGACCTCGGAGTCCGGGGCGTAGAGGGCCCGGGGTCGACTCTTGCTGCGGGCGCGACGCTGTCTACCGGCCACGTCGTCGGACGCGACGGCGGCTGGCGGTCCCCTGGAGCGCGACCTGCGCGCCGGTGAGCCCATGATGGCCGCAGCCATACCGCCACCCGCCGTGCCCGTGCTCAGGTAGAACGTGTCCACGTCGGCGAACTCGTTGCGCAGCTGCGAGAAGCTCCGCACCTGTTAACCGCGCAGAGTCGCGAGGCGAGCTCGTCATTATCATATTCGACTTTCCTTCCGCCTATGCGTGCCCAATTCCGTGTCTATTCTTAGTTATCGTAATTGCTTCTCGATAATGATGCTACTTGTTCGGGGGATATTTCGTATTGGACCGGCTTAATCGACTCTACTTTTCTCTATTCGATGACGTTGTGCTTACGCGAGTATCCATCTATAACTCCGATCGAGGATTGCAGTCGTGCAGAGTTGTGACGGGCTCGATAGGGAAAAAAGGATCGTGTATTGGCTTGGAGTTTTTTGCCAGTTCTTTTCATAAATAAATTGTATGCAACTGTAACGGAAGTCGGAGGAAAATATTGCGCGCACACACATACACAGTCTAGTTTTACGTAAATTCCAAAGATAAAAAATCGCGCACTTTGTAATCCGTGCCACAAAGAGGGGCTGAAAACATCGGGGGCTATATGATATAGTACGAAAATTGCAACTGCCTTACAAGTGGCTATAGGACACGTATAATACCAGAACCGCTCGAGTCCATTTGAAATTCATATGCGGTCGTGACCTGAAAAAAGCTCGACACGTACGGCAGGATCGTGGCGGGCTCGAGAAGCCCCCATACGCTGCTGCTCTCGGGCTCCTGCGGCTACTTACAACTTGTACCGTTACTGCCTGCGACTCGAGGCGGATCATACGAGAGGGATCGAAAGATTGTCGAGTCGAAACGAGGCCGCGCATAGCTAGGTCAATTTTCGTCCGATCGCGTGGCCGAGGCGAACGAAAAGAAATCGCTTTGGCACGTCATTTCAACATTACGTCAGATTCCATTGTATATAGCGTGCGCAGATAATATTGAATACCACGCGCGTCTCACGACTTGCCAATAATTCAACTTATTTTCATCGTCATTTTTGACTTTTGACTCATACCTTTTTTTTACTTCCTTTTTTTCAATCGAGGGAATTTGTATTTTTTCGCGCAAAAACCCTTGAACTTTACGTATACGCGAGGACTCGAAGGAAATCTGCTCGCACAAAGGCGCATATACACGTTTACTGCATGGGTCGCGATGACATAATCAAAGTTGTATACTATAATATATGCGGACCCATCGATCGATTCTCGGCCAATCGATTTTTATTCTCGCTCGTGTCTGGCGTTGCGGCAGACACTAAGTTTCCTAATTATTCATTCATTTATGCAGTTCGATCCGGAAGTGGCTGTAAAAAATGATGGCATCGAGTGTGTACGTGTGTGCTCGTGCACACACATATTTGCAGTGAGCCAATTAAAAGTGATAGATAAGTTTTTTTTCTGTTTGCCTGCATTATTATGTACCGAAAAGTACGCATAACGGACGGAAAATATAATAAAAGAAAGGAATAAAGGCAGTCATTAAACACTCTCGGCGCGGTGCTTAATCATCCGACAAAACAACTCGTATTTTCATCCCAACTGATGTGTTTGTATGTAATAAATATTACAAGTACTCGGGTTATGCATACAATATGCAAGTCGTGTTGGGCCGTGTTATTAGGTTCATCGCGATAAAAAAAAAGGTAAACATGCTTAAAAGACTATTTATCTTGTGACATTTTTTTCAGTCCGAGCAATGGTGTATGGCTCGCGACACGGCCCGCTTCCACATTTATAATCTCTAAGCATTACCATATATCTTATTTATAAATATGCAAATTAGCCTGTGCTCGGTCGCGATGAAAAAGAAAAGATGAAAAAAATTATCGAGAGCTGCATTACTGGAAAAATTTGATTTTCGAACGATAAACAGTACAAATGCATAGTTTAGTGGCTCTCGCGCGACCTTATTACGTCGTCGCTAATTTTTACGGGCGTCGTGCTGCCGCATACATACATACTCACACACATACACTCATTGGCGTGTTTGATTCGAGCTGATTCCTTTGGATTGTCGCAGCGCAGCTACGTACTACTACGTATTATACATTCGCCCGAGAAGGAAGTGAACTGCCATTATAATATGCGCCAAAGTACACGAAATCTGCAGCTTTTTCACTCGCACGCGCCACAAAAGTTATTATTCGATAAAGAAAATGTGTAATTTCTGCGCCGCAATGAATTACGTACATACATGTCCGACGCGTGCTTATTTCACTTTCGAGCTTGCGCCGCAAAGCTGCCGTAGTCGAACCGCATTGGCCCGAGCCGCGCGAGTAGCTGCTTCCGCATGGCATGCGAGTGGAAAACTTGAAAAGGCCTGCATGCACTAATTGCCCAGTCAACAGGGCTAATCGGCGCGCTCGGCTTACTTTCGAAAATTATATATCTAGGTCCCGCCAGGAAAGCTTCGCGCGAAGGGTGGCTCTTTTTTATTTGTAATTTTATCGATATTTACCTCTTGTCCGGATACGGTGAACATTCTCTTGGCTCCGTTCATCTTGAGCACCTGGCCCAAGTCCTCGAGGACCTCCTCGAAGGGCTGCGACGTGCGCAGATTCAGTAAAACTCGACACTGCGCTCGACAATTTCACGCGTAAGTATCGAATAATAATTTGTCTATCGAGTGCTCGTTTTTGTACATGATTTCCTCGTACCTGTACGGTGTGATCGAGGTTGTTGACTATGCGAATGACTCGACCGGAGGAGGGCTTGGCGCCACCCGCGGCCGGTACCTCGTCGTTGATCGAGGCCTTCCTGCTGAGGCTGGCCACCGCCGGACTGCTGCGACTCTGCCAGCCGCCGAGGCCACCACCGCCACTGGCGCCGACCCGACTCGCGCCTCCGCCGCCTCCGGCTGCTCCTCCCGATGTGTACCACTGGTTAATGCTCTTCTTGCCGTAACTCGCCGGCTAAAAACATTTCACGCATCTTTCCATCAGCTATCTATCGATGAATTAAATTATTCGAGTAACGATTGCCTCAAGAATTGCTATTTTATGATAAAAAATATTTTCCAACGTTACGTAACTCGATAATAAGGTAATTTCCCCGTTTGCGTTCGACAGTCGTTGAGTGCCCTACAGATCGCGAGCGACGAAATCACAAAAGAGGGAGGGAAACGGGGTGATTTGGATGCGAAAGGTAGCCTAGATTCGTCGCTCACATCGTACACGTACCTATACAACGCATAACATATAAACGGGGGGGATTTGACCAGTCGGCCCATTTCTCTCGTTTTGCGGTCGCGCATATAGCCTACTTTTAAGCCTCCCTCCCTTCAAAGACTAATGTCCTTTGCCGGAAGTTAGAGTAGCAATTCTACTTGTAGAGACTTTTTTTTCGTTCATATAATCCTCCCCCCTTCAAGTCAGCCGCCGACCTGACGGCTCGTACAACCTCGTTCAACATATTGAATGTATTTAGGAAATGTTACGACGTGTTGCCGTGGCTGACATTGTTATATATCAAGCTTCCCTCGCTAAAATGCTTCTATCACTTGTATATCTTGCAGATTTATGTATATCACGCGTGACGCGTTACATGTTTGGTGAACGATACATATTTTTTAAATTTATTTATTTTCATGAAAAAAGTTAAAAATGTTATTGGGACTGCCAGCGAGTGTTGGTGTCCATCGAAGAAAATGATATACCTGCATCATGTCGGCTGGCAAAGATATAACTTCGAAGGAGTCGCTCATCAACACGACGAAAGCCTCGTGACTGCAGTGCTCACCAAAGTGTTGATCAGGTCCGTAAGGTAGCGGCTCGCCGTCGTAACTGTTGTCCTCGTAGTCGTCGTCCAGTGGGAGCTCGTCCTCGTCGGCCTCGTCCTCGGCTGCGTCGGCCTCGCCCAAGCTCAGCAAAGTCGTCGCGGAGCTGCGCCGTCTCAAGTTGCTGGCGGCGCTCAAAGTGGCTGCGGTGCTCGCGGCCGAGCTGCGACGTCGGCCCGTCGTGGCAGTGCTCGTCGCGATCGACAGGACCGTCGAGCGGCGGCGTCTCAGGCGCGACGTCGTAGTAGTAGTAGGCACCTCGAGACTGTTGCAGAGCAGCGACGAGGAGCGACGCGTCTGCGGATTCCGATGTGGCTGCGAGCGACGATTGGGAGCCTCGTCCGCGCCCGAGTCCGAGCGGCAAGACGAGCTCGCCGGCGACTCAATGGTGGCAGCGATGCCCTCACTGCCCGCTGCCTTAGATTTGCCGCGAAATTCTTTTCTATCTTAGCTCGATGCGAGGCTCCAATTTATCGGGCTTTCGCTTCGATTGATATCTCTTTCCGGGAGCTTTCCTGGAGAGAGACTCGATTTGCCTGCACGAAACAAAATTTCATCTTCGTACAGGCTAGTCTTAATTGTTGTAACTCTTTATTTGCGAAATCATCGCTACTCTTTTCCAAACAACAAGTAAAAGATGTGTTCAACGTTTAAACGAAAGAATCGAGTTTCGATTTTTCCAGAAGCAAGGCAGTCGATAGCCATTCAAAGTTGTTCAAAATAATCGCAATAATTTACGTTAAAACGTGAATAGTACGTATAGGAAAACAGTAGCATAAATTTAAAATCGCGCTGTTTTACAAGCTCTGCGATCGTTAAAATTGACTTTATACGACTCTGCACCGGGTAGAATCCGCATACCGCAGCGCGCCAACTTTCAAGCAGAGATTTCAATGCAAGAGCGAGCGCGTCGAGACGAGCCTTGGAAAAGGAGCCACGTGAAATAGCTGCAACTTCTAGCGTACCTGCGTGCAGAGATGCGTCAGCAAACAACTCCTCCGAAGCGCTTAACTTTTAAGACTACGTTGCGAGCATAATTGTGTCAGTTCAGTCTCGTTTACTCGTGCGGATCGCCACTCGGATAATCACATTGGCTCGGTTGTATCTGGTTCGGCGCGACGAATCTTCCGAGTCGCGGACGCTTATCTTTCTTCGGCACTCATCTTCTTCTCGACTTCTTGCCTGTGGCAGCTCAAACGCGCGGCAGCAAAAAACAAACTGTTACAGGACGGAGCAGCGACACGGATCTACCGCGTCTCGTTCGATGATCGACGAATCGACGTCGAAAAAATTGTTACGCGCCGCACGGGAGATGAACGAGTGATCACGAGGTAAAAATCCAGAGGCACGGCCAGCCGCGCTCGATGATGATACATATGAAATAGAAAAAGGATGAAGGGGACGAGTGTCCTGCGCGAGTGAGCTGCCAGTCTTCCTGCGACTGGGCCGAGAGTCGAGGATCGCGTCGCGCTTCGCCTCCCGAGCACACACAAAGAGGAAGAAGAAGAAGAAGAAGAAGGGAAAGGGGGTCGCCTCGCGCGCCCGCGCCAATGGACGGGGCAAAGAGGGTCGCTGAGCTTTTACCCCCAACTCGAGCCAGCTATCCTCTACATTTCGTGCACACCCGTGTTCGTGGTAGACTTCCACCCCCCTTAGGGCCAACATCTATATAGCCACTCTAGCTGTCTATATTTCGTTGACTTTCAAGGACGACATCTCTCCCTTCCTTGTAAAATCCGATAGTTTGATTGAATGCCTTCTTCACTTATGCAAAGAGTTAATTTCCTCGAGATCGTGTCGAGAAGCGAGGTTCGCCCAAAGTATCTGGGTGTGATTTTTAATTTACCCAACAATCAATCCAATTTCTAAACTTTCAGTTCTCATATTTTCGTAAAAAAAAATAATAATTATTCAGCAGAGCCTACGCTGGAATAAATTTGAACTTTATAGTAGCCGACATTTTACACGAAAAACATTTAAAATGTACCATGTAAAATAATTATTAAAATACATATATCAAATTTTTTGGGTCAAATAAGCGTTGGGGTATAACGAGCACAGTTGCATGCCACTGGATTATATAAAAGAGCAATAATTAGCCTAGAAAATATTCATAACGAGTAGGGAAGGGAGGAGTGGTCATTTTTTTTTTAGAGCGTAAAAGGAACTCGCGAGGGATATATAATAAATATATATGTGTACGCGGAGAACACGAGAACACATGCGGCACGTAATAATCAAACAGCCGAGATTCGAGGCATGAAAATTGCCGCATAGTACCCCACACGTCTGACCGTGTTGCAGACCTGCTCTACTCGCCAATCCAGTTGTTCATATATACATATGTCTCATATTATGTGGAATACTGCGTAGGTGGATAATGCAGATTTTTTAACGGCCTATTTTATAATCTTGGCTCGCTTAAATAAAAAAGAAACGTTGAATGCAGAAAATTACTTTCACGTAATATTCCACGAATTGCGTAAATATGGCGTTTTAAGTATGACGAGTAGAGTATCGAGAAAGTCGACGAGATCGAAGTTCGTGAATGAAGTCATGATGCTTTAGGGGTAGGGCCAAAAAGCGTATACAAAACCAAGCGAAGAACACATTTGGGCAATGTTTATGCGTAGTGCATACATAAGATATGTTTATGTATACTTTGGTAACGCTGGCGCAGGTCACAGTCAATAGCAACTCAACACACATAATGTACATAAAGCGGCGGGGCGAATGAAGTTTGCAAACGACGACGACGACGGCTTTCGCGTGCAAACGAGCCGTCGTGTAGGACACATGATAGACCCCTCGAACGGCACCTATTTCTCACTCGCGCCACTCGAAAATCTTCGTATAATCCAAGAGGCCTACACAGCTGTATTACGCACATCTATATGAACTCGATATATCGCCGTCGTGTATGTGTATGCGTTCGGTACAGTAGTACGGCGCTCTTGCTGCAACCACACGCGGCGTTTATGTTTATGTAATATATAGTGGGCTCGAGCAGGCTGCAAGAAATAAGCGTCACGCCACTTTGTACTACGCAGCTTCATTCCATTTTATTGAAACGGAGTGAGTTATCGGCCCAATTTCATTAAAGCTAGTGGTAAGCAGTAACATTTTGATTCTCAACAGTTTAAATTTTTATGCACAGAAGATGGTAAAAAAAAGTTTTGATAAATACCGCGGCCGTGCCAAATGCAACTCAACCATTTTGACCTTTGCTCGAGAAATTGGATTCTTCTAATCAGCTTTCAGGGTTTCACAGCATGTACTCGATAATTTGATTGGCTATCAAAAATATTACTCGATTGCTGTGATTAGTGTTTAAACTTTTTTTTGTAAAAAAAAGAACCTTGCCTTGATTTTAATGAGTAACAGGCAAGGTGCATGCAGCATTTTAAAATGAAAAATTGCTGATTTCAATGACGCTTGAAATCTTTAATCAACCTATGAAATCAAATTGAAAAAGTGAAATCTATTAATTTAAATTAAAATTTGATAAGTTGACAAATAGCAATTGCAAAAGTTACCCCAAAAACATCTGCCAAATTTGTGAAATTTTCAATTATTAAAACTTAAATGTATTATATAGGTCAGATCAAAAAAGAGTTGATGGTTCAAAAAATAAAATTAAAATTACTCTATAAACTAAATGTAACTAAATATTCTCTTAAAGAGTGCATACTTAGTTTCAATTGCATTTTTTAAACTATCAACTTTTTTTATGTAACTCATACATATTAACGTATTATTGTCTTACGCAGAGAGATGACCGAAATTCGAGCGCAATAGCTCTATGTCCGCAAGAGCGCAACGGCGTAAACGGAAACTGGACTCTTGCTCTACTGCCATCAATTAGCCTGATTAGATTTTGAGACAAGCTAAGTGATGGATTATGCGCCTCATATGGATAAGCGGCTAGTTTCATTGGCAGCGAAAAATTTGAAGCAGAAAAATTATTACAGAGGGCTGACCAGGTGCGCGCGCTACACAAATTTATTGGTCTTCGTCCGCAGTTCGGCTACATTATATGCGACTTTTAATCGACCCGTACTGCCAACGGCATGAAAGATGATCGAGTCGTTAATCAACGTCGATTAGGATTTACTTATGCGCGTGTTATAACATTGCAGCCTGTTACTTTTATTCAGGTACTCGCGCACGAGAAAGTATAAGGAACGAGTTTTTATACCTTCACGACAATTCTTGCTAAATCACGTAACAACTCAAAATTTCTGTTGAGAAACTTTTAAACGTCGACGTGTCGATGTGCGCAAACCGCCAGTGAATGCATACGCCAATTTGATAAAAACACCAACAATTTCACAAAGTTAATGTCTGTACATTAATTGTACAATACTTATATTTACTGAACTTTACTTTTCCTCTTGCGGGATTTAAATAGTCATGCCTAAGACGTAGACGCATTTTGAAGAGGTCGCGTAGCGGCAGATGAGAGTACTACGTGCTTGGCAGTCGAATATCCGACTCGAGAAAGATCTAGAGAAGATTGACTTCAGTGTCAATCGGTTTTCGCTGCGAATAATATTGATAATAAAGGATATTTATAACGATTTTACCTACACGGAGAGAAAAAAAGCGTAATTTTTCACCTTGGGAGGGTAAAAATTACCCTCCCGTGAGAGTAAAGCCCGTCCAATTGATGTAATGCTATCGTAGTAGTGTCTCATCAATTTTTATAGGCTGTTTGTTGCGTGGATAGGTTTAATTTATTAGCATAATTGGGTTACGTCGGTTAATTTATAATTTTTTTTCTAATTCGAAAAAATTTTTTTGTTTTCATAAATTTTATTAAATTATAAAAAAATTATAAATTAACCCACGTAACCCAATTATGCTAATAAATTAAACCTATCCACGCAACAAACAGCCTATAAAAATTGATGAGACACTACTACGATAGCATTACATCAATTGGACGGGCTTTACTCTCACGGGGGGTAATTTTTACCCTCCCGAGGTGAAAAATTACGCTTTTTTTCTCTCCGTGTAGATATTAATTATTGTGGATCTCGAAATTCGTGATTTTGAAGGCCAATTCAACGAAATTAGTTACACATACATCTGAACTGAGGAGATTTGTTGGAAACTATAATCATAGAAACTAAAAATTGTTTTCTTTTTGTCACCCTGTCTATTATATAAAGTTTTCGCTGCAAGCCGTCGAAGATTTAGAGATTCAACGAGTCGAAAACAAAGTAGATTTTCGTTTATTATAGCTCTGCCTCGAAACATCGAAAGCTGTACTCATTGCCTTGGAAAAGAATAAAAAGGATATTTTGTCATTTTACAGGAAAAATAAAACGATGATTACTTCCAGTAAAAAAATAAAGCGACTTTATAAGCCATAACGATATTGTGACAAAAGTGCCTTTTTTCTAATGCCATGACACTTTTAGGACGCATTTTTATACCTCCTAGTAGTGTTCAGCGTGTAACAAACATGAAATTTTCCTTGGAGATCATAGAACGCATTATAAAGCGGGTGAATTTAGACGAATCTTGGCACGAAGAAAAAACAGTTCATGAGAAAAGCGAAAAAGATAAAGATAAGTTCGAGTCTATCGCTCTGCGACGTAATCCGGCTATGACCCGAAGAGGAAGAAAAACTAGTCGCGTATTCTACATTTTTTTATGAATAATTTTAACGATTTCTGACTGTTGTGAACCAAATATGAACTTTTTACTCCTATAAGAATAATAAAAAAAGCAATGGGATCTATGGGGCTTTTTATTCACTTTCAGAATGTCACAATGATTTCAAATTGGTTAGCTAAGTTCAAAGCTATCTCAGTCGTTCCAATACGACATTGTTGAAATTAAATACAACTTTTGCGCGAAATGATTTACGTACGCTAAATATTGGTACATGAAAAGTATAATACGTGAGTCAAGGTCAACAGTTTCGTTTGGGTCGTCATATAATTATTAACTACATTCATAAACTTATAAATAATTATTTTATGACGTTTTTCTGATTTATGGTAAGTACAAGAAAATACATCTAAAGTGTATGTTAAAATAAATAATATTAAAATAATAGAAAATACATCTAAAGTATGTGTTAAAATAATTTTCAATTGCCAGTATGATATTGGTAAAGATTGTTTACAATACATAAATTATAAAGATTTGGAAGTAAACACTGAGGTTTATTTTGTACACTTCATCTGAATAATAGTTTGATTGATGTATAATAAAACGTCAGTAAATCGGTTAATATTTCTGACTATATTTTAAATGATAAATAACTGAACAAAGTTCGAAATCAGAACCTTTTATTTCTATGACAAATTTTTCATCGTCATCAAGAAGCAAAGTGGTAAAAATCACGATCACGATAAAATGTTCGACGGCAACAAACTCAAGTGGAAGGCATGTTTGTTTAGGTAATATTTACACCGGAAGTTAATGTCGTTTGCTCGTCGCTCATGAATTTTCATCTTGCATATGCATGCATTAAACTCGCTTACATTTGTAAATTAAATGATCTCATTTACATTTCGATGTTTACATATATAATGTCATTTGTATTATATGTGAGCGACGAGAATAATATTCGATGGAATCGCGAGTACACATGCATACTTTTCCAAGTTTCTTCGCTTGCTTTGGTGCAATCGACGCGAAAGATTCCTCAGTCGGTCCGATATCGTAATCTTTTGTAAAGATCAAATCTCTATCGGGACATTTAGTGAGCTACAACGAACTGTTATGCATATAATATGTCAATATCGCATCTGAGCCAGTGTAATTATAATAATGTATTTGGTCTTCTGTTGAAATTACTGGCAACACAAAAGCTCACAAGCTACACACTCAATACTGTAAATTATTTTATTGCTCTGCGATTATAAGTTCAATTATTGCATCGATAACAAGAAAAGAAGCAGAACGCGAGAGAGCTTGCACAGATACAACTACAGGAAGGTTTATATCTTTGCCAAGTTTGGCGATCCGCTTGTGTTGGACTAGCCCGGCCCGTGTGAGACGTCGCAAGCGAGGCCGTGAATCAGCTCGAGCTTTCAAAGCTGTGCGCCACCCAAGGGTCAAGGTCACTTTCCATATTATGTACAAACGATCATGTGTATGTGTGTGAATGCGGCTGCACACACCCACCTTTCGATTTTTGTAATCGTCCCTCTTCCCCGCAGCCTATATAATACATCGGCTGGTTCTCTCTCACTTATACACGTATTAAAATGTGAGTATATTATATTGCATACAGATATTTGTCGCGCGCAATAGCGGCGAGTTCGCGAGCACTTGCCGCTGCAGCCACGACCGCGGCTGACATTTATTATGTTTATCGTGCGATTGTGTGCTCGGCTTCGAAGACTTAAATCTCTTTGACATGCGATTCTTAGGTGTCTTTATTGTATCATATGAAATAAACTCGATCGGCGAGCTTTGCTCAAGAAGACGACCTCTACGACCTTTGACCCTCGTACACACTTACACATATATTATGCGCTTTGCTACTTTGTACTTGACTTCTTGTTTTTTTTCTTCTTATACGCAGGAAGGTCTTTTTTCCCTCTGTAATTTTTTGTTTTGCATAAGCAGGTTATGTCTTTTTTCCAAATATTTTTATTTCACCTCGTCTTATATTCAATCTCCTAAATTACTACGTACTCTACTATTTGCTAGAAAATTAAAGGCCATAAAAATTTCTTCCAAGCTCTATTAGATAAGAACTTTTTTGTTTGAAAAGGAAGTGAGATTGTTTAGATTGTTTTTTTTTGTGCTAAGTATAGTGTAAAATGAAGATATGAAATATCTACAGAGTCATTTCTTTCTATAAGGAAATAAAATTTTGAGTATGCCTAATAGATGAAGCCACAACGTGTTATTATCTCATTAATTAACAAGTTTTTTAAAGATAAAAATGCACTGGCAGATATTTTTTCACTCTGAATTATTTATGTTCAAATGTAAATCGCATTCCCTTTCATATTCGCTTAGCATGATGAACGAAAAGAGCAAGATGCAAAAGATATCAATTCGTTAAAATTATTCCTGAGTAATGAATTACTTTACTTAACTTTTGTTACTATCAAATTATATCCAACGTCTTTATTCAGACTTTTTTACCTTAAATGATTTGATGTAAAATGAAAAAAAGGGGTTTCGTTGATCCCTTCTAATGGTCTGACAATAGAGAAAGATGAGAAATGTGTATTGTGCTACCAATCAAGGTTTTCTAATCATCTAGTAACATCGAAAATGGTCCTTGGGTACACGTTCAGCTCACACATAATTTGGTCAGAAATAAATTTGGTCAGAAATAAATTTCTTTGCTTCAACTTTAATGAAACAGTTGGGACTTGAGCAAGCTAAAGTTTATGGCACTTTGATGAGTTAAGTGCACGGTTACAGTAGCCACTCTGTAACCAAAGAAGATCGAATTCATCCCGGAAAGCAAAAAGAATATTTTGTCTCCCTGTGCAGGGAGTTCCTACATTTTTTTCAGATTCTGATGGGCATGGAATCGTAGAAATTATGGGCTAACTCGTCGAATTCGAGTCAAGTAAAAAATATTCTTTGAATTACGTACATACTATAATGTTATGAGTTTAAATTTGTCATTACTGGTTTATCCTTAATTTTTAATGAAATAGTTTTGTCCTGAGCTCATAAGAAACGGCTCAATAATAACAATAGTAATAATATGGAAAAATCGAACAGCTCGCGTGTATGTGCAACATGGAAGAAAGGTGAGGAAAAAAAGACGATGTGGAGTGAGGAAAAGTTGAAACGAAATCGCACTTGTATTACGACTTTGATTGATCGCGTACGATATCTCGCGTGGAGCATCTCGTCGGCAATAATATTGTGGTTGCTTGGCCCTATATGGTTGCTTTGCATATCATTTTCAAATCGTCGCACGCTCGACACTGACGTGGTAATTACTCCCGCATGTTTGCCGCCAAGCCTATATTTGTGGCCATATTAACGTGACTTGAGGGAAAAATGCTATGCTGTTGCGCAAGCTCAATAGCGTCGATATAGCCGAGTAGAGAAGAGGTGACTGGCCCACTCTTGGGTCACTCAGTCAAATGCCGTTTTTATTACTTAGAAATATATAGCGTCAGAAGCTTGTTGAACTTTTATGTGCGTATAAACGTATGATCATGTTGGTTACTTTGTCATAAAATCGAATACAAAAAATAATATAAATATGAATATTCACCATAGTAAATATAAAAGTATTTAACTGCTTTCCAGCTAAATAAAGATTAAAGTATACAATTTACTTCATAAAGATTTATCATAACAAAGTTAATTTGATTGAGAAACATTAATATGTCTTATCTTATGTCATTTTGAATGACAGAACATGGCACTATTTTATAATTTTTTAACGCAAATTGTTAAACGAAGCTTAAATATTATGCAGTTTTAATGTAAAGTTTTTAATGAAGGGTAAAAATACCAGTGATGACATTTATAGTTTCTTTTGTATGGAATTTCATTAAAAATAAATTTTCCATTACTTTTTCTGTAAAACAAGTTCTGTAAAAATTCATGGAATTTTAATCCCAACTACAATTTTCAAGGTAGAAAAGAAAAAAATTATAAAATTTTTTTTACATTTAAAAAATATATTTCAAATATTTTAAAACTGTTTATTCTTTTCACCTAATGACATCAAATATTTGGGAAATTTAAATTCTCAACATATTTCTCAGTATAAAAATAAAATAAATGAGTTTTTCCTTTCTATTTGAAATAAAAATTCATGTTTCTAGTACAAAAATTTGATGAATTTCAACGATGACCGAAAACGACTTTCATCGTTAGGTGGTGAACATCATTACAAGTAATTCTACCCGTGTCAAGTAATAAATAATGGTAAAAATAGCTCCTAAAAACTCCAAAGTGAATGAAGTGTGACTAATAGAAAGGAAAATACAATTATATTACACACTTATAAAAAAACACTGCATTTTTTATTTGTCTAAAGTACAAAATGTAGAACTATCGAGTGGGCTCACACGTTGGTTGTCCCTGCACATTGTCGTCGAATTTTTCAATCGATCATGATAAATATTCATTGAATTTTCACGATGCTTCCACAGATCAAAATATACAATTGGCTGCACTGCCCACCATTTTAGCATTGTCGCGCCGCCCACTCGATAACAGAAGTACGTGGCATGTACGCTCATATAATATAGATCCACAAAGGGCGCATCAGGCCGTTTGTCTCTATAGCAATGAAGCATCGATGTCTCTTATAACCGGAAATGCGCACGTTTTCGAGCTTCGGTATAGGCGCCGTCAAGTTGCATATATGACTATTGGATGTATGTAACATGCCTACTTCTGTTGAATCAGTACATACACTATTTGTAAGTATTTTTCAAGATTCGTAGAGGTTTAAAAACAAAACTTAAAATAAGAATTAATCGACTTTGATACATTTCTTTCATTTTTCTCATTACTTTAAAGTATTAAAAATTTAAAACTCAAACTCAACATCTTATTGCAAAATTTAACAACCTATCAACAGTCAGTATCTTTCAAATGACAGTTCAATTTTTGACAAGAATCTAACTGTAGCTATTAGAACGACGTGGTTAGTGTATTAAACAATTTCATATGAATAAAATAGCTTATCTTTAGCCAAGTAAATATTTCTTCTACCAATTTCACACACTTTTTTTACTTATAAATGTACAAACTATTCTAAAACTATTATTAAACATAAGAGAACACAATTTTTTTCTCTAAATGTCTATTTTGCTCAAACTGACCATTAAAGATCGATTGAAATTGTGATTCAATCAATACATTTATTCTTTTTAGATCTTATCAAGAGAGATTCTTAAGTATCTCTCGTTTAGGTCACTCAAAACTTAATTAATAATAAAATATTACGCTACGAATGGGATAGCCTTACTAGGACTCCCTTTGTACACAGCTTTGTTGCATTTACAATGCCTGAGATACGGGGTTCCCGTTCCTCCTGAGCAAAGAGGCATAACGGGAAAACAAATATGATCTCCTCTCTCTATGTGCTCAAGAATTTCTATCTGTTTTTTTCTGAAGTCCTCGCCTGTTAAAGAAAACAAATGTTGTAAAATAAGCATGTTTTTTCAATTTTTTTACTATAGAATTTAATTAGTAAAATAACTTTCATACTTTGTCGTAGTGGGAAGTTGCAATCGCAAAAGAAAGGATCCGAAGAACCAACTCCTCCTGAACAAGATACTGTGTAAGGTTTGGGGCAGTGTTGTGTTAACAAGTCTCTGGATTTCATTTGAAACAAACGAAGTTTCTTGTTGTTCAGCCCTATTTCATCTAAAAATTAAACAAAAAAGAGTTTTTAACATATTTTAACACCAATTTGAAGATGTAATGAGTTGTTTGATAAATCAATGCTCCGTTAATAATTATATACCGACCATCGGCTGGTTTAGCTGCTTCCATGTCGCAACGACAGTATAATGGATCTGGAGTCCCAAGTCCTCCTTGGCAAATAACATGTTTAGGAAGTTTACATGTTTCTCTCATAAAGTATCTAGATTCTTCTTGAAAAAATCGCAGTTTCTCAACATCTACATCAGCTAAACAAATACATAATTTACAAAGTTAGTAACAAGTAATGAAAAAAATATCAATTAATAGTTTTTAATTATTGCAGGTAGGAATATGTACGCTTAAAAATTGCAAATGTATTATTTTTCACGAAACGTATTTGTATGAAAATTTTACACATAATTTTTTCATGTTTTCTACTTTAGGTTCTTTTCAATATATTTTGAAGTATTAAAAACTATGTTTATATCTTTCTTATACATTAATCTCATAAAAAATAACAATCATGTACGATTCTTGAGTGTACTACGTACATAAGTGTACGTGTAGTGTGAATAACCGACTTCAATTGCATCTACGTAGTGTGAATGATATTTACACCGTTTTGTTTTTTTAAGCAAAATATATGATGCCTCCAAAAACATGTTATTAATCTAAAAAATCAATGGCATAGTGTTCTTGTCTCATGTCAATGAATATTTGGAATTAGTATGATAAATATGCAGATTTCAAGAAAATTACTCATAACTATACGATAATATTCCATATGCACACGACATTAGACAGTATGACTTCCTTCATCTTGTTAACCCGTGTAAACAAATGACATCAGGCAAAAACAATAAAATTCTATAAGAAAGAAATCGTAAATAATCGATGTTTAAGTACTTACTTTCAACTGCGTCAGTTGCACTCAATAGCATGGATAATGCACAGAAAACAAAACACACTTTTTGAGATATCATGTCGAGTATCGATTGATCCAAGCCAGCGAATCGAACTTGACTGAGCTAATCGTCGTGTATTTATAAATTTATCTCTTTGAACCGTCGACTACTCCCACTCTTATGAAAACGTTTCAATATGAAATGAATTTTACATAAAGATCTCGGAATTTCCGTCGTAAAACGACCGGCCAATCTACATTGTATATGTGTATCAACGTATACGTCAGAAAAGTAAACAAACTTGCTTGTGGTACCATAGAATAGATTTAACTTTGATCAATGATAATACTTTTAATCGTAGTTTTGGTAATCCCGGTATTTTTTTAATTTCATTAATGTCTCTGTAGTAAAAAAATTTTAATTGATCAGATTTCTCCCAAAAAAAATTTTTTCAAATCCCAAAATATTCCACGTTGGATCGGTTTTACCAGCATGGTATACGAAAATCGCATGAACAACGGTTATAATCTTAGGTAATCGGCATGATTAGCCTCGATTTTTGTGGGCTAGTTTTGCATGCAGTTAAATCCACGAAGTCCATAGCAAAAGGGCGAGACTCGATGTATATTTAAGCAAATAAGCTCTTGTTCCCTTAGACATAGGCCGTAATTTAATTTTTTTACTCAAACTCATATTTCATAAAGCTGTAATGACATGAGCTTTATTTTTATGCACTCGGATGCACCAGATTTTTCAACCTTGTTCAATAAAGTGATTATTAAAATATCTTAGTGATTCAAGAGCCTCGAAAATAAAATTCTTTTCATTAAAAAATTGTTGCCTTTTCTATAAATATCAAAAACGAAAGAATGCTTAATGTCTTGTGTAAAATGAGTATTATTTTATAGTTAGCAATTAAAAACTCAGTAAGTATATATGAAAAAATCGATGCGATGTAGTAATGTTATTCATAAAAAAAGTAAACATATTAATTAATAATGAAAAATGTTTGAAGATTTCTCAATAAATTGAAAAACCGGTTTTATTGGTTTTGTATCTAGTGAATCACGTTTTGTTTTGAAATTCTGTGATTGGCGAATATATTTTTTTAAATTAAAAACCCAATGTGTAAAGATGTAAATATCATTTAAAAGTTTAATTTTACTATTATTTATATTCATTTTTTTTTTTTTTTTTGTAATTTTTTGTGGTAACGATTCAATCATACAATTCGGCAGGCAGAAAGATCAAGTCTCAGCGGTACTCAGTCCGTGTGACATTTGTCTTCGGCAATGGTAGCGTCTATTTTCTCGACTCGAGCTGCAGAACTATATGCAGCACTCGGCAAGCCGAAGGCGTAAGATTTATGATCGAGCGTGGCGTACCCTAGGTAGGCAGACGCCGCCGCGGCGTTCTTAGCGTGTGTGCAGCTGCGAAAAAAATTAGCCCGTGCGGAAATGCAAATGAAAGTTCGCAACTGCGCGGAGGGTCTTTGCCGCACGGTGCGCTACAGCGACGTAGTTGATCGAGAGTCGAAACACTCGAGTGCGTCGTCGAACACTACTTAAAATATCGAGTAATTATTCATACATTTTTCGTCAAGTCATAGAATGATCGATCTCTACGAATTTGGCTAAAAATTACTAGCACTAGTTGAAAAATGACTGATTAGTAGAAAAATGCATAAATTGAAAATTATGAAAACAACGTATCGTTTAACTTTTCGCTAGGTAACGTTGAAATCGTCGCTAGAACAAAAAGAAAGGACCAAGCTGGCGAGGTTTTGGCGTGCAGAAAAGTCGTTTGCGCGCCGACAGAGAAAAGCAAAGACAAAGAGAAAGGCCGAGATACTCGGCAATAAGGCGCTTCCACATGCTTAGCTTTGCAACGAGGAAAGGAGCATCGAGGGCTGCTCGTCGTACCTACATATGCATGCATTAAGCTGCGCTATCACACAAGAGCTGCGCCGTTATAAGCTGGCCGCGCGTATCGACCGGAGGGCGCGCTGACCGCCGGTCAATGAGATACGCTCCTTCTCTCTCTTTCTCTTCCCCTTCGGACGCGAGTGCAGAAGGCGGAAGTCGCGCCGACCTCGCCGCCGAGCCCACTGCGCGTTGTGAATCGTGATTCACCGCCGCCGCCGCCGCCACCACCACTGCTACACCACCTTCGCGGCTGCCGAGCTCAACGCTATGTGTAGTACATGGCCACTTCAAAAGTCTCGGGCGGATCGCGAAAAATATTATCGACGGCGCTGCGCGATAGTATTCCGCCTCGCGCGCTCTTATTTAGCTATATAGAGCTAGCTGCACCAAGGCAGATGGGTGCTCGTTAGTCGTACTTTGCAAGCCTCTTTGGATCGGACTCCGAGTTACGATGAGCTCTTCGATTGATTCTCACCTAGATGCGTGAACGATTTGCGATTCTTTATACAAAGCTGTAGACTTGCTGCTTTATCGACTAAAGTCTATTGATCTCGGAGCTTTGTTATTCTTTTTTTTATTTTTCTCCTCGGGATTTAAAAAAAAAAAACAACAAAAAATGTAATTACATTTGTGGATCCATGAATGCGTATATGCGCGACACACGTGTCACAAGTCGTACGACCTCAATAAATTCTCGTGTAAAAAAAAGCTGCAGTTTCGTGTCGCACGAATGTCAACTGTTTTTCTCCTCGCCCCATTAACAGGGCCGCCTGTATGCTTTAAAACACTCGGTGAAACAACCACGAGTTTTTCTCCTAAATCTTTATCATGAATTATACAACGCCATGTGCTCTTACTTTGCGAAAGAGAAAGAGAAATCCCAAACGAACCCCACGCGTATACTTACATTATACGCAGTACGTGCAAAAAGAACAACGTTGCATGTAAATTGCCACTATATATTCGCAAGGTCATTCCACCCCATCGCGGGCGGGATCGCATTCCAGTATTTTCAGGAAAAAAAAATAACGATCACTATAAAAATTCTGCACTCTGCGGCCTTACCGTAAAAAGAACGAAACAATAAAAAGTCCGAGGAAAAGATACAAGTTGCCAAATGCGTTCCTCGCATTCTTCGTAGCGTTCGCAGTACGAACTGCGGCGCAGTAGCGGTGAAGCCATAGTCCCGTGTTTCGCGCCTACATCGAGGAGCGACATGCAACAATGGCCCACTGCTTCAGATCCATTAGAAACAAATAATATTTCTGCCCGCTGGGAATTCGTTACGTGCACGCGGGAGCAGTCGTATAATGACGCTTATTATGGTCAGTAAGTGCATAATACGCCTCGAGGGAGATTGATATTTTGCGCAATTCAGACGCAGAAGTTTCTTATGTATTTGAATTTGAAATTTCGCGAATATTCGTAATTATACGTCGAGTTGTACAAGTATGCTGATAAATATGACTAATGTGCCTCGATTGCGGAACGGCCGCGCGTTCATTTTCTAGATATTTCCAGAACAATGAAGCTTCATTACCGTCGTCCAGCAAGAGAGAAAAAGAGAATAAATTTCGCGAGCCAAAGTGAAATTCAGATGTGCGATAAAATTCACGCAATAAAGCTTCGTTCACTATCATTTTGAAATTTGCCCATAAGACCCGAGCGATTAAAAGTAAAGTCTGGGAAATAACATTGCGGCTTTGCTTGAATAGCCAACCCGAAAAATAATTTTTTTCGACACCCTAATTATCTTGTCCGAGTATGCAGCCGTCCAGGGGTACTTGCGACAAAAGTTCATGAGCGTACAGATTTGGCGCGCATATATACGAGATGACTCGCCGACCACGTGCTCGAGCTGTTCTTTTGGAAAAGAGAGAGAGGGGGAGAAGTGTGCGCCCGTCTACACGATCGAGCTTTATACACGTGAATTCATAAAAACAGAGCTTCTGATGACTCTTCTTTTTTAGCTTTTTCCCTCGTCACCTCGATGGAATGTTCCAAAAATAATTTGTATAGCTTATTTTAAATTCCAATCGTATGAAGCTTAAGGATGCCGATTTGGTGTTAAATCGACGTTTACTTTTTACGCGAAAAACGAGAGCAAAAGGTAATCGTCATTTTCATTTGATCTATTTTTAGGGCTCTACGTTCTTATGAAAAATAATACTTATATACGCGCGTGATTAAGTGGATAAAGCTCCAATTACTGCACAATGAGAAATGATTTGCCGATAAGATCCGCTGGCACGGCTTAATTGCTGTTAAAAATAACCAATGAGCCGCGCAGCCTTGCAAAGAACTCATTCGAAGGATCAAACGTAAAAATAAAATCTTAAGATATTTTTCACTCGTGTTTATAATATGTCTAGGGTCAATTTTGTGCGAAATTTCGTAAGCCGCGAGAAAATTAAGAGCCGCACGATGCAAATACAGAAGCGACAAACGCGTTTACAATAGGCATACACGTATAGGAGCGAAAAAGGCTCGAGTTCGCTTGATCTATCGAGCCGAGCCAGCTCGAGTAATAGCCGAGGGTGGACGTTGCGCGACGCGTTGCGTGCACGCGGCCGATCTGGGCCAGATTTATGCACGCAATTGTTGTTGGCCAGCCGTCTCGAGTAAGTACCGTGTGTGTGTACTGTTATTATACACACATAATCCCCCTCGTTTAGCTCCGGCCGTACGTTTACCTTTTCTCACTGACTTACTTTCTTTGTCAATTCCTCGTGGCCGATATGTGCGGCTACATGATCTTTTTTGCGGGTCAATTTATGTAATAGAAAAAAATAATAATAATAATCAGCAAGGAGCTTTTGCGCCATTGCAAGCGCGTGCCAAGCTCATTGCAAGCTGACATTTTTGAATATTTATAGAGCCGAGGCACACGATCGCTTCATAAATCTGTTTAAGCCAACTCTGTACTCGATTTGATTTAAAATTGTAGAAATAAAGAATTTGGCCTACGTCGCGCATTTAGTCGAGAGAGAAAAATTCGAACGAACGTGTAGGCGAAAGATTCTCGCTGATCGCGCGCCGCATTGGGCCATTGAATTTAAAATTCTAAACGGCGGCTCAAAAAAGCCGCTGTACACAGCGACCCACATGGGACATGGAAAATCGGTCGGAAACCAAGAACTGAATGCATACTCGAGTGTCAAAGTAATGCACCCTGGTCCGTGGGAAAAGATTTATTCGCTATTACCCTTAATTTCACAAAGGAACTGGTCATTCCTGCGTACATCGGGGTTGGAATCGCAAAAAATTTCTTTGTTTTCGAAATTGAATCAGTGGTCCGAAGCATCGAAGGTTTATTTTAAAATCGCAGCGTGCCATCGTCGTTATTTGGCAAACACAAAAGAAAAGCTCAGGCCTATGTATACAAAATGCAAAATCGATAAGCCGAAGCTTACGTTACGACAGTCGCACGCATATCGCGCTCGCGACCTTGGGGCTGTCGAGCGCCTTTAAGGCTAGCACACGTCAAACGCGCGATAATCGCTGCTGACCCCGAAAAAATGTAAGCCTATGTGCAAGGACTGGGTTCAATCATAAAGTAATAAAAGTAAAAAAGAAGTAAATAAGGCGAGGCGCGAGCTTCGGGCGGCTTACCTTGAATGATTTGTAACTGGAGACGACGTAGGAGGCGCCGTCCTCGAGCTCGTCGAGATTGAGCTTGCGGTCGCCGTCCATGGAAAATATGTGCCTGGCGCCCCTCGGCAGGTCCAAGCGCTGCGACAGCCGATCGAGCAGAGCCTCGAGCGAGCCGATGTCTCGTCCCGGTTTGAACCTGCGACACGTCATTTTCCAAGTAAACAAAGCATTCGCGTAGAAGCACGACCAGCAGACATGCATCGGACCGTTGGAATACATCAAAGAAGTCATAACCGATCCTTGGCGTTCTTTGTTTGTACTTAGCAGCAAGTTAAGGAAGCCGTGGCGGTCGTGTATGAAAGCCGAGAGAACCCTCGACAATTGACATTGATTTTATGAAAATGTCCGGTTAACCGCTCCTACACATACTCTCTCTCTCTCTCTCTCTCACTCGCTCCCTCTTTCTTCGCTCCTTCTCGAGCCTATACACACGTATACGTTGCGTGCAGTGATTTTGCTGTTGTTGCCGCTGGAACGCCATGTGCTATATACGTGCAGTGGTATAGGTGTTTGTGCGCGCGCGTCAATGTGTGTTAACGGGGTTAAATGCATGGTGCAAAAACGATTGCCATCGTTGAATCGCATAAAAAATAAGTCGCGCAGCTGGCGAGTGAAAAAGCTCGTTTGGTTCAGAGAAGAAAGCTGCTCACCTGAACTCGACGCCGGGAAAGTACGGATCGCCATTTCGGTAAAAGGTGACTCTGCGGGCGCGCCAGTAGCCGAGATTGTTGTACCTGGATGGCGGCTGGAGCTGCTGGTGCTCGTGGCGGCTGCGGGGCCTGGCGATCGTCGAGGCCTCCTCGGCCAGGGCATTGGCCGGGAGCAGGGCCGCCGAGGCAGCCGCTCCAGCTCCTCCTACTCCTCCAGCAGCTGCTAATGCCTGCTGCTCCGGGGGCGGCATGCAGCGGGGACTGGAGGCTCGGCTCTGATGATGATGGCGCAAGCTCCAGTAGCCACCGCCGAGCGCGCCACTAGCGCCACTTGCCCGACCGCTGCTGCCTCCTCCTGCGCCTCCCTCGAATCCTCCTCCTGCCTCGGCTGCTTCGGCTTCGGGGTAGTCGAGTCGAGCTGGTCCTCCCGCTGGCGCCACCGCTTGATCGCGCCGCGAACTGCGCAGCCCGTTGCGTCGAGCTGCAGCGCCCCGATCGTGCAGCCGATGATCCCTGTGATTGTGCTGCTGCTGCCTGTCGTAGCCGCGTCGTCCCTCGGACATGGCGGCCGCCACCTCGCCGTCTATCCCTTCCTCCTCGTAATCGTAGTACATGTCCTCTCCGGCCATTCGGTGCTCCTCGTAGTCCTCCTCCGCCCCCTCGTCCTCGTCCTCTTCCTCTTCCTCCTCTTCGACGTCGTCCATGTCGTCGGCCGTTAACGAGCTCTGATCTTCCAGCTCTCTGTCTGGAGCTTTGCCAGGGCCGCCGATCGCCTTGCTCAGGCTCGCGACTGCGCCCTTTACGCCCTCCTAAGTGCAATACGAATTCTTTACCGAACCTGTTGAAAAGCTCGATCGCGATGCGCTCGGACCGCCCGATTAATAGACATGTTTTCGGTGTTCTGCCTTTGTGTATGCGCTCGTCCACGTCCGAGAGCTTCGATCGATCTTGGCAATTTTTTCTTCCGCTCGCGCATTTTTACGTTTCTCGCGCCACGGTTCGCGGGAAAAATCGATTCCCTTTGATTCTCCGCTCGCGGCGTGATACCGATGACCGAGCGATAAGCTCGCGAGCTCCGACAAATACACTTACCCTTGGATCGTAATCCTCGTTGTCGTTATTGTGATTCATGTTATTTATGACCATGCGCTGAGCCGCCGGCGTGGGCTGGTGCCCGTTGGTCTGCCTCTTGGGCGAGCCAATCATCACGGCGCTGCTCATCTTGTCGATTTTGCTCTCCACCGAGGACACGGCAGAGTTCAGAGCTTTATTGACTATAGCGCCGTTAGTCTGTTGCTTCTGCTCCTTCGACGACGCTTCTTCTTTCGTGCTCTGCTGCTGCTGCTTCTGCTCACCGTTGGCATTCGTCGTTGTGCTCGTCGTTGTCGACGTCGACGTAGATGCCGTCGTTGACGGACTAGCAGTGGTCGGGGCCGCGTTGTTGTTGCCACTCGTGCTGGTAGTAGTAGTATTGGTAGTAGCGGTCGAGGCAGTGCCGTTGGAACTTGACGTATTCGCGAGTGCAATGGCCTCGCGAGCTCCGTTCGCTGTTAGCATGACTCGCTACTAAAGGGTCTGGCCGACCGATTGCCTTTTTCTCTTCAGGCTGCTCAGATTTCTTAGTTGACTGGAGAAGCGGATTATCGACACCGCTACCAACGTCTCTATCGCCTCTCGTCTTTATCAATATGATTTCTCGATTTCGAGTACTGCTGTATCGCTGAAACTATCAATCAGTGAAAAGAAGGATCTCAATTGCTCCGTTGCATTTTATTTCTGTATCGGATTCTTCGCCTAGAAATCCAACTGATGTCTTACGGGGTTGAGATTATTTCGTCTTGCAACTCTGAAACAGTATCTATTCGATACTTATTCGACAAAATTTGCACCCTGAAAAATATAAACGATGCATTTTCAAGTTAAATGAACAGTATTATAATTTTTAGAAATTCAATGCGAGATAGTTTATTTAACTTGCGATTATGCATTGCCCAGTGGGTTTATTGAGTTACTGCTATAACTGTACATTTTATCGCTTAGATTTACTGTACTACAGAGGTAATTTCCTCTCCTCGCGATAAATCAAACTAATCTTCGTTATAAATTATAAAGAAAGATGTAAAGTGCTACGGCGGTAGCGAGAGCTTTGAAATGCATTCAAAAGTAATGAACATGATACAGCGTGAGCTTTTATTTTTGCACAGTCAGGAAAAAAATGACTATTACATTTGTTACGTTTGATTAATAGCCGCTTTATATGAATTAGCCAACTCACAAAATATGATGATTCAAATATTGAAGAGAATAAGAATGCGCAGTTAAAAAAACAGATCAATAAATTACTATATGCTCACTCTTAATCGTGACTTGATATCTGATGTATGGGAAATATATCAAAAGTCAAATCTCTTGCTTAATCCGAGCTCAAACAAGCTTGATTATTAAAAACGAATATATTTCCATTTGAAATGTCACAATGTGAACATAACATGACTTTTTTTAGGTCATCAAATTACTATAGAAATAATCGTAAAAATATATACACTCGTCACGCATCTTGGCATGAAGTTTGAGCGCGGTTCCGTGCTACACGAAAAGCTTGCTCAGGTGTATTTCACCTTTAGCATTTAGAGCTTGGCCTTATAACAATCTTTTAATGGTATATTTTCAAATATGTCTGAATTTGAAATATCATTTTTACATTTTTATAACTCCTGCCATTAAATTTTCGTTTTCAAATAATTTCACATAAAAAAATTTAGCCAATAATTGAATTTTTGATTTTATATTTTAATTTGGAACTGGGGAAAAAGTGGTGTGGTCTGTTGTAAACATTTTGAAATAATAAAAATTTGCATGAACAAATACTTGAGATGTAGGTACTACGTAAGATGCAATCTTTGACGAAAGCTAACAATATTTCCATATTACTGTAATTTTAAAGTTTTTTGCAGATTTGAGCTTGCAAAATACATGTATATTTATGAGTGTACTAAAATGTTTTGAAGCTATGCTGATAAGTTACCTAGTACTATGTTCTTAACTCAATTTTTTAATTGGGCTTCGAAAAATTTTTTGTTTGTAGTCGTTAAAGTAAAAAAATGTAACAAGTTTATTGTGCTTGCTCTATTTTAAGAAAATGATTTTGAGAAAAAGAATAATTATTCTTAAAACTTATTCATCTAAACTTAATAAAAATATTTGATTTACTTTTGTAAATTAGATCGTTTATTCTAAAGTTCGTAATTAAATAAAATATACACTTTACAATAATTCAATATGATATCCAAAAAGTCGAATGCACGAAAACAAAATTTATTGAAGGCATATCTTTAATTTAAGGTTAAACTAAAATTCAAAGTATTCATTAAAAATTATAAAATAACGCACATCGAGATTCGCAGTTATCATTATTCATTGTCTAAACAATGAAAAAAACAAAGAAACCAAATTATTTAGAAATGAAAAAATGTTTATTTTTTGGAATAGCAAGAGCATTACTTACCAAAGATTATAAAAAAGAGTTCCATAAACAGCGCTTGATCGTGCCCCTGCTTAAAATAACAACTAACTATAGTCAAACTTCCTGAAAGCTCTGCAAGCACGAGTTAAAGTATAAGAAGCTTATGCATGCGCCTGCTTGCTTGGGGGTATGGCCCCCCTACCACTCCTTGGATTTATTTTCCGTTAATGACCGCGCGCGCTTATGATTAACTCGGCTTGGCTTCGTAATAGCCATCGATCTTTCACACTCTATTAATTTTTTTATCGTTTAAATCGCAGAAAAACCTCAAAAATCACAAAGCAATTTTCAATTATTAATGAGGTAGTGTGCGTCATTGATATATAAATTAAAAGAAAAAGGAGAGTTTGCGATCAGTTATCAAGTACTTAACGATGATTTGACAAGTCTTTAAGGCAACTGCTACGACGAACACTATGGTAATGATCATTATTTCAAATAAATTTCGATTCAATTTACGTTACGATGCGAGGAGAAAAATGACTTTGTCGGGAAAATGCAGTTTCAGAGTGTCATAGTCTATTTCACTGGCACACATCACAATTGATAATGAACTTTTCCAAAGAGCAGAGACAGCAGCGAGATACTATCGAAGCGGCCTTGAACGTGTCTCGGCAGCTGATACCGCTGGCAACGCGACGAGTTGCCGAAACAACCCCAGAGAGTCGTCGCACTACTACCGACACTCGGCACAAGCTCGCACCGCTGCCGATTTTCCGACGAATAAACAAACAAATAAAACCACATTTATCAGTCATTTGAATGGAAATTCAGTAAAAAAAAGGCGTTCAATGTATGCACGGCTCGGTGAAAAGCGTATACGAGAGTGTCTGTATAATGTGTCTTTCGACGCTGGCGTCCAGGCATCGAGTGGGTAATGTGCAATAGGAGCGGCGGCGGCGGCGGCGGCGGTACACAAGGAGCAGAGTGTCGAGTGGCTCGCGAAAGCGCTGCCCGCTGCCAACGTCTGATGGTGGTCAGTGAACCTCTACGGTCTGCACTCATACACACGAACGTTTGGTATACCTATATATTACACTAGTCGCTAGGGCGCGTAGTCTAGCGTCGATCCGCTCAGACTTGTTGCTGGGCTTGCTTATATCAATTTCTCAATTGCATAAACTTATTTGAAGATGTAACATTTTCTCTGTACTTACTGAAATAAGTTACCAACAATAATGTATGAAGTAAATAAACTATTCAAAGAATAAATAAATATAAGATGAAAATGTCCAAATTCCCAGGAAATAAAAACATTTTGCCATGAATGTTAGAAGCAAAAATTCATTTGACTTTCGAGTATTCAAATTTCCTTCCCCCGAAATACGTATCATCAACACCCGTGTGTAGAACATGTTGTTTCAACTGGGTGATAGCTCGCATTTAATAACGTAACGTTACAATCGAATAAAACCCCGTACAGTCGTTGTACTAGGCGAGCATACTGCAATCAAGCGAAATGAAGAAAGCTACACACATGGCCGGAAGTTTGTGGCGCAAGCGGCAAGATGCCTTCCTAGCGATAAGCTCGACTTTTCTAAAGACGACGAATGACTCTCGCATATGCACACTACGTGCATTTTGCCTTCGGGATTTATTGCGACGCGCAATGATTTATTCAATGATCATCGCGGAGAAAAGCTCGACGAGCTTTTTACAGAAAACGTGTGGTCTTTTTTGACAAAAATTTAGGCTCGTCGATCTCTTAATAGAGCAAAAAGAGATGCTCTCGATTTTCGGGCAAACTTGCGACACGAGGCAATATAATCTGTCTGTGCAATGTTTGCATACAGCGTAGAGCTTTACGATCCTTCAAAGCCCTTTTAGCTAGCGCTATTTACTCGGATCGTTCGCCGCTACGCGAGCAGGCCTATAAATGCAGCACAGAGTCCTCGTGCGCATAGCATTACACGATCGCTATTACCGCAGCGAGCATTACGTTAAACAGCCAATTACGATGTACGGCGTTGCATATATATAAAAGACCGGCATGTGCATAGCAGCTATATAATATAAACATATAGAGTACTCGTCGAGAGGCGAGCGCATACGGAATCAGCGCCGAGCAAGCCATCGAAAGCACTGATTAAGCGGCTCCTGGCGGCAAAGTAGCCTGTTCATCCTGCTCGTACCTACATATATATAGACTGGGCTGCGGCAGAACGAGGCGCGGTCGCGCAAGCCCGACGAAAGCTCGCGTTCGAACGCGATTGGCCGCGCCTCCCCCGACTGCGAACCTGCACTGCTCGCCGCAGCTTGCGTATACCACTCCTGTGATTGCGCGCACACACACGCATACACAACACACACATATATTAGTTGCACATTGATATGGCTTCCGGAGATCGTGCAATGGCGCTGCGTCGCGCTAACCGATCGAAGTCCACCCACCACCGCGGCCAGCGTAATTCCACAAAGAGCCACGCTTGCATTTCACCAGCTTGCAAGCTCGACGTATAGATTTTGGCTCTGACTGCGTGGCACGCGCCAGATCTCGAGCTCGATGAGTTGCCACGCGAGCAGATCGGATTTACGAAGAATTTTTTAGTCATTGTGAATAAAGTTAAAGACATCCCTCTTTGGGTAATAAACGAGATGAAAAGTATACAACAACATTTGTAAATTGTACTCGAGTTGAATAATTCAGGTTCAAGAGCTTTTTACACATGTATAGTCTTTATACTTTGAGTGGCTCTTTCATTAATATTAGATTATTTTCATGTGGATTGAGAAACTACGATATAACTCACACTTTTTCAATTATTGATAAAATGATCATAAAAAAACCTTAAATAAATAAAGATTTTTTTTTGTAAAAATAAATATTCGTTTTCTGTAATTTTAAAAATTGTATGCAAAATACTTCTTATAACAAATTTCACCTTTATTCAATTTTCAAAATCTGTTTTTAAATTATGTAACAATTTTAATACGATCTAACTAAAAATTATCAAATCCTGCGACTGGTTTCATAAAAAAATGTATAGTTTGTGCTAAATTTTTTTTATCAGATGCATCTTTCATAATAATAATACTTCTAAGTCTTCATAAGTATTGATCCTCTAAAACTATGCATATAAAAAAATATATGAAACTTTAGTTAACAGTTTCGTGCGCGATGCATGCGGATTATCGCGTAAAAAAACTGGTATCACGAGTTTTCTCGAGGTAGTAGGCGGTCACCGTGTATGTACCGAACGAAAAGTCAAGATAAGCCGCAGCTATTATAAAAAAAACTCGAGAAAGCGCGGCCAAATTAGTATACAGAACATTCTGCATACACGTATGCATACGCGTATTTCACATATAACAATATGCATGTGTGTGCCGTACATGCGAGAAAGTATGGGTGTATACGTTAAAAAAACGTGTCAGCGATTTTAATGTAATTTAAGTCATGTATTCAATTTCCATACATAATGCATAGCTTGAAAAATGTATAAAAAAGATGTTTAAAAAAGTTTCAGTTTTTCTTAGAAAATCGTTGTTAATGATTTTCTGATTTTTCATCATTTTTCTTCTTTTTCTTTTTCTTCTTATCTTTCACAGTTACTTCATCATGCTCCACGATGTTGTCTTGTTTTAACTCAGGTAAATTTTCGTTTATATTGGTAGTGTTATCTGTGATTTTTTTACTAGATTTTTTCTTTTTTTTCTTAGGACTTTCATCAGTGACATCTTTTTCAGTATTATCAATAGCTGATTCATCGAAATTAGTATCAATTTTGTTTTCTATATTATCTTGATCAGCTATTTTTCTTTTCTTTTTTTTCTTTGGAACTTCTTCAGTAACATCTTCTTCGATATTATGAATTACAGAATCATTAAAATTAGTATCAATTTTGTTTTCTATATTATTTTGATCAGCTATTTTTCTTTTCTTTTTTTTCTTAGGAACTTCATCAGTGACATATTTTTCAGTATTATCAATTACTGATTCATCAAAATTATCATCAGTTTTAATTTCTGAATAATCTTGATGATTGGATCTCGTCTTATTTTTTCTCTTTTTTTCTGAATCTTTACTTGTATCTTCTTGTTGGTTATCCAAACATGTTTCAATTTCATCATTTTCAATTAAATTTTCCTCCACTTCTGCACTAGATTTTCTTTTAAAGACAGCTAAGAAAAATCCATTGCAAAGATCTTTTTCAGGAAGAGCATATAAAGATTTCCCATCACTACAACTGTACCTACTGTGCTGAGCCCCGAAATTATTCCACTGACCATTCAATTTTTTTTCTAAGTTAACTAGTTTAAATTTGTCACTAACTTTTCTGAATACTTCATCTACAACCTCTTCATTTTCTTCAGGATATAAAGAACAAGTACTATAAACAACTTTCTTAACGTTTGGAAAATCACAAAGAGCGTGTGTGAGAATCATGGCTTGGAGATTTCGAAGTTTTTTCAAACGAATGAATAGATCTCTTCTATCTTGGTTCATGAATTCAATTCTAGCCATACCTGAACCAGAACAACTGGGATCTACTAAAATGTATTCTACATTTGGATATTGCTCAGGCGTAATTGTCAATGCATCAGCTTGAATAACATCAACGCATTCAGCACCAGTATGACTGACAAATTCAGACAGTGTTTTATGTCTACCTTCATGCAATTCCACTGCATAAATTTTCCTGAAATTTATTTTTTTTAATTAATTATTTCCAATAATTTTATATAAAATAATTTTAATTTTAAAAGTAGAAATATATTATTTTTACCCAGTATTATTAATAATGGCCGCCAGATGAGTAGTTTTCATTCCAGGAGCAGAACACATATCCAAGATACATGAATTTGGTTTCGGGTTCAGTAAAAAAGCAGGAAAACAACTAGCCTGAATAATAAAATAATGTTATCGCTAATGATTATAATAAATGCATCAAAGTATGAAATAAATATTATACCTTATCTTGCAATAAAAATTTTCCCTTCAAGTATCCTGGGTGATCATGAAATTTAGTTCCTGGAGGAAATGCAAAAACTTCTGGTATGTGAAAGTCTTGAATATAATCTTCTGGACCCATATTTGATAAAGTTTCCAAATGTGATTTGTAATCTTCACATTTTGGCAAAAGGTTCCAACCATCGTTGTAAAATGCTTCAAAGGCCTCATCAATGCTCATCAACAATGTATTAATACGTACATATCTGGGTAAGTCAACTATAATAATTTGTAAAAATGAAAGGAAAAATTATTTTAGTACAAAAATGAATCCAGTTTTTTTGTAATTTTTTAAGTATATTTATTAATTCTTAAAATTAATTAAGACAAAAATGTTGTCATCATTATTTTTAAAATCATTGAGTATCAACATGCACTAGTCAGTTTTTTTATCAGTAGAATCACTGACAGGGTCAGAAGCATCAGAAGAACCTTTAGATTCTTCATCTTGCTCATGTAAAGCTTTGTAAGCATAAAGGCCTATAATCAAATTAACAACAATAACAGCAGATACAACAGAAACACAGTTAGTCACAAATATATCTGCATGGAATTTAGTATTCATTATGTGTTGTGCAGTAAAAAATGCTATAAAAGGCAATGTGAACATTGCTAAACTGTACAGAAAGAAAGTATTTACAACAGTTGTAACTCGAGACATGATAATTGATTTTTTATCTTCACTCTCAGTTTCTGAATTATCTTTAGAGTTTTGTTTTGACTTATAAACAGTCTTTGACAATAAATTTATTCTAGAATGACGTCTTGATTGTATTCTGTTGTTACGAATTATCAAAACCATTGGGTTTGATGGTAGAAGCTTATCTGGAAATTACAATAAATTCATATAAAAAATGTATAAATTACCTTTTTTTTTGTCAGAGGGATCTGCAACAGCATCGGAAATTTGCTCAAGTGCCTTCAGCAATTTTTCTTTGTAGCTCAATACAGTTACTATAGGTATGGCTTCGGATTTCAAAACTTTCTTTCCCCATAATAACTCCGTAATCAATACTCTTGCTAACCAAGGATCAAATCTTGGATTTTCAATAAGAATTTTAGAATAGTCTAGAATATATTGCAATTCTTTGCTATGTCGCAAAGTCTCCGAAACCAATGCATAGATCCCTTGGACATTCTATTATTTACAATAGTATTTATTAATAGATGTCTCATAATTTTTTTCAAAGAACCTCAAATAAATCTCAAGTACTTACTGGATGTCTTGGGTTGGCCGTAAGACTTTTGAAACTAGCACCATCAACAGCAACTTTTTTAACAATTTTCGTTGCTTCTTTGAAAAGTTTTGGAACTTTGATAGAATGTACAAACTTATTGGCACCAGTATGATTCATTGATCCTAAAATTAAAATGAATTTAGAAAATTGTTTTATTCTTAAAATTAAACAAACTTAACAAATCACATTTCAAACGTAAAAATTCAAATTATAGTTAATGTTAACACAAAAACACGTGACTACTTTCATGATTATACACAAATTTTATTTGTTTTGCTTTATAGGTTAAGATTAGCTTGTTTGCTTTTTTTTAATGAAATGATAATTATAGAGTTAAATAAATTATAGCAAAATATGAATGGCAATATACCCTGATATTTAATATGATGTAAGCATAAAAAAAAATTTCACGAGTGAAAAATATAACTACTTGTAACAGTTATAGTGGCGCAGAAACGTGGTCAAATTCACGACACGAACATATAGTCATCTACTGTGCACTGTTACAGTCTGTTTTATCTTACGATGGCTCTTGGATAACTTGGCCGTTGCCCCGAAAATTCCGGCACCAGTCATATCAAGTCAATGCGGCCTCGTCAGTCATATGAAACCCATATAAAACCCCTGAGAAAAATATCTTAAATAAAAACTTTCCGACACATTAATGATTTTCAGAACGATTCGCTCAAATAATATTTGTTTTGTATTCTATTGCAATCAACTGTTTATCAAAGTCCAAAATTTCATAAGAAAAAAAACAACAAACATTTTATTGATAAAAATAGATATAGTACCGACGATCTAAAAATACACTCTTAAATTATTATCATAATAATCGTGTTTTTTTCAATACTGACTACAAACACAGGACGAGAATAGATGCACCGTAGCCGAGTAACGAGAGACAAGTGAAAAACGAGTAAAGTTATTTGTCTTACAAAACGTTAATACATAACTATATCATTTCTTAGATGTTCAAGATGAAAAATCAATACTGAATCATTGATTATACAAAAATTTCTTACAACACTCGCGTATATATTTGCTATTTCGGGCCTTTAATGATTCAGCGAACCTCGACACGAAGCGATCCGTGCACTGAATAATAGAATCTCACAAGATAATGGCAACGTTTACTTTTCTCATAATCGAGTTACAGAACTACTCGAAAAATTTTAGTGCAAATTAAGTTTAAATATTCTTCATTTTTAGTTGATACGATGAATGAACGAATGAGTTAGCCGTATATTACAAAATCTTTTCTCAAAATCCTAAAAATTCGTAGAAACGTTTCAATATTTCACCAAATCGATTATGTTTTTGAGACCACGACCTTTTTATTTCACTATCAAATATAAACTAAATTCAGAAACGTTTTTTCATTTTTATGAAATAAAGTATAGTGATTTTAAAATAATAACATTTTTTAATTATATTTTTATGATATTTTGAAAATAAGGGTTTGCATCATTATTATTTCGACTCGCGAACAACGCTACTTTTTGTAAGCAAGAAAAATTACCGTAAAATGTCGATGTAATTCTTTGCGCCTGGTAAAATTCTCATTAAGAAAAAATCGAAAATCAATAATGATTATAAAAATATTGTTTGAAAATAAATTTGTCTGGCCACTCTACTAACTAAATTTACTTTTGATAAATTATTTTTAATTTTTATAAAACCGACTAATTAAAAAATTAAATAAAATTTTATTTATTGAGCCTTTTAAAGAGTTTCGTTGTTGTGCATGGGAATCAGGAAATCAGTGGAATACTGAAAGATTGTTCTCCAACAAATTTATTATCGTCAAAGACTTTACTTTGGAATTTATATTTCATGAAATATATCCGGTGCTTGTGTTTAGTTCATTATGATTACGGAATAAGTTCATGTGTGATGCATGCATATAATTTCATTTTTTTTCTTACATCATACTTTTGTAAATGCAACAGATGAAATATGTTTTAATGTAATATCAATATACTATAATATATTATATATTTTTATCAGTCAACATTACGCTTTTTTATCATTTTCTTTCCTCTAATGTTTCTCTTTTTGTACGTAAGTGTAAATACGTCAATGGAACATCAATTGCTAGGTACTGTAGAAATAATCATATAGTTATTGATAAAAAAATTCAAAAAGCGTAATAATATTTACTGCACACACCAAGAACATTTCTCGAAAAAAAATTTCACGATCAAATCTGATTCATAAATTTCACTATGAATGAATACATTACTTTCATAAATAAAAATATCACTGCATTAACTAATTAAATATAATAAAAAGTTATACATATTTACAAGCATAATTTATGATCTATCAAAATGTAACTAAAGCAAAGTATCAAAATTGCTATACACTTCGCGAATACTTGAGACGAATTAAATCATCTCAAAAATCACAGAATTCAGTAATTGCGAGCTGCTGTTAATGTTAAATATGTTCACATTTAATATAATTACCAAAAGCTAAAATGACCTATTTTTTAACATTAAACCACTTTTTATCTAGCGCGATTTGTTCATTAATTATAAATCTTTTATTAGAATCGTAATTTCAATTGCAGTCTATCAATACTATAGTTTTTTCAATATAGTTTTACTATAGTCCATCGAACGATGTAAATATAATATTTCAAATAGATTATAACATAATATTACAAAAATAACAAATGCCCTTTTTGACATCGTTAGTGAAAAGACTCGACTGGTCGAACTCTCGCAAAAGATCTTCAAAACATGATTATTTTCAAATGTCGTTAAAAATTTGTTCAATTTTTTAATTACGTATATAAAAACGCGGCAATATTTCCAATGTCGCTGTTTTTTTTCTTGTACATATTCTAACAAAGAAGTTTAAATTTTATTCACATAAACTGTGAAACATACAAAATTGACTGTGAATCTTATAGCATAATTTTACAAATTTGCTATATCTTCATAAAGTACACCATAACACTATTGAAGAATCAGTTTATCCGAAAACCTCTAGTAATATCGTCGGACTACATTCCTCACTAAAAAAACTTAATCAACAATCTTGTTACTACTCTATCAACACTTATGCACTACTTCGCCGCATATTGCGTTTTTTGACGTCTCACGTGATATGGAAATTGGCTAAATTTTGTAATATCAGTGCTAAATACTTTCGCGTATTTATTTTTACGGAAATAATAATATTATTATTTTATTGACTGTCTGGTTGTGTCTTTTTGACTTCTTCGGTTGTTGCGTCAGGTAATTCCGCCTTAGCTGCTAGTTGTAATACATCCAACCACCTGCAAAAGAATATTTTTCAAGGCATAAAAATATGAATGGATGATTTATTCCAGAAACATATAAATTATCATAGTGGAATTTCCTTTGTTGACTAAAACTTTAACAAGCTTAAAATTTATTCGAAATAAAAACTAGCTTGGTAAGAATAATGAATGAATGAATGAAAATATTTTTGACCCGTTGAACCTTTTATTTAAAAAGTTCAAGCTTTGATTGAAATAATCTTCAAAAAATGATGTTATGAATATGTAGATTAAACTATAATTAATAAGCTACCTTTTTTTATCTTCTTCCGTTGAAGCTTGCAAATAATAAAATCTGCGGGAGTGATGAATTTTAATGGCTCTGACTCTATCCTTGGTGTGAAGAGGATCATCATCATCAAGACAGTCGGCATCCGTGACCGTAAAGCCGGGCATGGGCGTAGCCGTAAGTGCAGCCATCTCAGCTTCCGATTTAAATGTGTAGAGTACAAAATCATTGTGAAGTGCGAACCAGCGACGCGTCCAATGCTTCCCGGATTGCGTTTTGAGCAAAAGATAGCCTGACAGGACGGATGCTGCACCTGCTGACACTTGAAGCAGCCCCGGTGCAGTGGTGGGTGCAGGCGTTGATTTACCCAAAGTCTGTGTGAGAGCCGCGTAACACAAGCGACAGACGCGCATACTCTTGTTGTCTTCGAAAATGAGCTTCTGGTTTGAACATTTTCCACACACGATCTTGAAAGGAAAAATCAAATCTCAAGTATTCGAAGTATTTAAAGATTAAAATTATATAATGTGAATAAATGGAAGATTTGAATTGGGAGCGATGTTTATGCTACTTTCGACCTCGTACAATCTGGATTAACATACCAAAGTGCTTGAATGGTGATACGAATTGAAAAATATTCTATAAATTTAGCCACGCAGCGTAATAAACGCTAAAAATTAATTACGCCCGGCATCCGTTTCGATGGCCGGCCGCAGCACAAAGAGAGAATAAACGCCGATCTACGGATATAGAATACGCGTAAGCGTACGCTGTGGGCTGCACACACGTGTATGCGAGGGTTTATATATAGAACAATTGTGAATTCGTGCAAGTGCATGGGATGCGAGTCCAAGAGTTTAAACTTACAATGCCACAAGCGCGGCAGGAGTGCTTGCGCTTCATAACGGAGAATACTGTTTCGCAGACCATGCAGCGCGTTACATCGTCAGCCTTGACCGTTGTCGATACCGATTTGGCGTTGCCGTTGCTGTCGCTTGAGCTCGAGCCATTGACTTTCAGGCTGGCTTTGCGGCGCATTATTTCCTGCATCGTCTCGAACAAAGCATCGAGCCAGGCGGCTTTCTCCGACGCCGAGTGCGTGTAAAGCTCCACGCTTTTATTTCCGTCGCGCAGATAAAATGTATTGGCAGTTTCCAGATTGTCACCCTCGATCACTTGCAGATTCTCGATCATGAATTTGGCACGCAGTCGATACAGAGGTCCAGGTATAAGGCGCAGAGAGCATATCAGCAGCATGTCACTAAACTGTTTAAACAAAAATTTCATGTTGTTATAAATAAGGATGAGACATGCGTAGGAGTTATTTAATGAAGCAGTTTTGGTAGTAATGAGCTGTCAAATTGCTTGGAACATGATTCATTTTTAGAACACAAACAAACAAAAATTGTACTAATACAAAACAATATCACGAATTGTCAAGAGATTTTGTATATTATGTCAACTTATTACTTATTGCTCATTAACTTACTAGGAACATATGTCTGTCTTGATGATCACCGCTTCTTGCTGAAATTTTAACGATTTTCCCTTCTTTTACGAGCTCACGCGTCGCACTGACTAGATCGGTAGAATCGTAAATACTTTCTTGGATTTCAAGAAGCTTTTTAAACTTATCTATTTTCTTCATAGCTTCATTCGTGTGATTAGCTGCGGTTGAAACTAACTCTAAAGCTTCTGTAAATAGAATAATTTTTTAAATTTTAGACTTTAAATCCAAAAAAGTCTTTAAAAAGATTCATTAGGATCAAACTCACTTTTGGTATCTTCATAATCAGGGTTATCTTTAACAAGGTTCCTTAAATAATCTTTCAACAATAGCTCATATCTAGGTAATCTCTGGATAGGGCCAAGCATATGATGGGCAAGTGAAAGTTTTGCACATTCATCCATTTTTTGTATTTCATTTACAATAGCTGCAAACCTTGGAATTTTTTGTTGCAAGGTACTTATAAGATTTATTGCATAATCAAAATTCTTAACATATTCAGTATACATTTTTAAAAAAGGAGCAAAATTTTTCATGATATCTCCTATTCTCGGATCAGCATCCCATGCTTTTATTCTTTCCTCTAGTTGAGGCAGCAAAAAGTCATTGTGAAACTTATAAATAGACTTGATATTTGAAAACATGTGTTGAACGGTGTCTGGTGGGAACATTGGATGAGCTCTATTTTCTTGATCAACCCTAAACTGAAATATCTGGTCTATGAGGTACAGAACATTAACATAGGTTTTTTCCGTAGATAGTATTTCATGGGCAATGTGTCTGGCTTTTTTGGTTTTCTCATCTATTGAGTTCTTTTTAGCCTGTAATTTCTTTTCTGCTACTAAATCATCAACATGATCTGCTACAATGGCAGAATCAGTTTCAGATGAACGAGTTTCTTCTGATTCTTCATCACTTTCAGATTCACTGTTAGCATAGCTATCATGAAAACTATTTTCAGTGACCACATAACTATAAAAATAAAAAAATTTGTAATTACTTGTGATTATAAAAATTATAAAAATTACACATTATAAAAATTTAATTTTACCTGCTGCTTCTATATTCCAAAACACTGTGTGACATATTAGATAACGTAGCCTCATACATTGTTTCCTTAGTTGTGCTATCTTCAGAGTGAACAGCAGAAGCTGATGTTGACATAATAAAAGGCCTAAATCTTGGAAAGCCACCAAAACTAGCAAGTCTGTGGAAGGAATGTCTAGGAAATTGGTTGGTTTCTTCTGTTCCTCCAAGAGAATCAGAATCCTGTGAGTTTCCATCTTCGCTAGCTGCACTTTGTAATTCTAATATTTTTGAATTCCTTTGAGCAGTCTTGTCGTTATCACTAGAGACAGGCTTATCCTCATCCTTGTCATCTGTGATATGTAAATCAGTATAAAATGTACTTGAGCCACTCGTTTTGAAGCCAAACATTTTGGTCTCGAATGGCTCTGGAATAAGGCCCACCATCCAGGATGTCAAATCTTTTAACTGACCTCGGGCCATTCTGTATAACAACGGAATTAAATTAGTGTTAACAAACTCTCATTACGGTGGGGATGGTACTAATAGTATGAATGTATCTAAATGGTATGCAATTTAAACAATTGTGACACACTGACTGCGTTAATTATCAGTAAACAGCACTTTCATTCTAATAAGCAATATTAGGTCAGTGACACCTTTTTTCCAAATACATTTGTCTACAAGATTTATAGCATAAATTGCACTATTTATTGAACATGATCTGGTTAGATTTTTGTTTTTGACTTATTCAATCATTGGCTATTCTAAAAAATATATGAGGGCCCAAAATATGTTGAAAATTTTGGTTTTAAATATAAGAAAAATAAAATGTTAGTAACAGATAGTAAAAATATTCATTTCAGTTAAAACAATGGAATAGAACATGAAGCATAACAAAACCATGTATAACATTGATAAAGCATCACCTTCAGAATAAAAGCTGCAAGAGCTCAATTGGCGATGATTCATGTTACAGTAGCACTCAATCATAAAAACATATTCTACATCGAATACAATACTAAGCAGTGGACAAAAATATATGTAAGCTCTTCTAGAATTGTTAGTATTATCATATGCATAACCTTGAATGATTTAAATCTTATTCCCTCATACATTGCAATTTAAAAATTAAGTACACCCATCTACAAGTACTTATATTATTAAAAAACGTTAGTATTTGCTCTGATTGTCCAAATCAAAGATTCAGAGCTCATGCGTCCGTTCGTCCGTCCGTCTTTCACCCACTCTCACAATTCTCCTTAAGATTCAATTACTCAAATATACATAGCTGAGGGGCATCAGTTGTCGAGCGTACTTATAACTCGTAGGTGTTAGCTATGTACTTATTATTGTACATCCTTTTACGAGTCGTGCATAAGGCGTTCGAGGTGTTAAGTCAAGCGAAGAAGATTAAATTCGGCGAGCTTACCTATGTGTACAATCGGAGAAGCATTTCGAGCTGTCGCTTTCATTATTTTGAATTGTTTGTCACATAAAAAACAAGCGCACCTGTCCTGCCGACTGGAAAGTCATCGAGTCACTAGCACGCACTCACGCACGCACATACACACTCGAAAAGCGCAGGCAGGTATAGGCTGCACTACGGCAACGTACAAACTGTCAGTTTTGACTGGTATTGTTGTCGAAGAAACACTGGGACTCGCTGGAGAAAGGAAAACACGGCAGAACACGACGAACGAGCGTAGCGGGCAGCAGTAGAAAATCAGTAGCTGCGTCGTCGTCTCTACGACGCGGCGGCCGTACGCGATGCACTCGCTAAGGCTGGCGTGCGCGCACTATACATGCCTACCGTACAACTCAGCGGGACTCTTTCTCTCTCTTTCTCTCTCTCTCTTTCTCTCTCATTGGGACAGTCTTCGATTTTCCACGCGCGACTACCTATTGCGCATAGCAGGCACTCTTGCTTGACATGTATGTATAAGCTGCGCGTCTGAAAATGTGTCTCTGCGTCTCTGTGCGCGCGTGTGGGTCTCTCTATAAACACAATCGTAGGTGATCTGTTTATTTATTTACTCCGGAAACATGCAGCGTGCACACGACGGCGGCTGGTGTCTGCGGCATGAGTAAATGGAAAGTTATGACAGCACGTCTGCCTATAACGTAAATATATACGAGGCGTGCTTAGTTACTCGTGGCCCATTATTATTTAGCTCTTGTAATCGATGTGGAATTATGGGTATATACATACTGCAGAATCGAGTATACAGGCCACATAGCACAATAAATGTATTCGCATATAGTATACATATACACGTACGGGTTCATTGAAACATATCATAAAAAGCTTTCGATTTGTCTCGAGTGGGTCTCGCTTTCTTGCCTCGCTATAGTCTTACGGCGCCGCTCAATTTTAGAATATCTTTATACCATACACCGTTTTTATAAGAATATAAATCGCGCCATAGGTGAAATTCGCACAGTCTCGAGTTTGCGTATCGTAGATAGAAGCACGTCGCCGATAAGAGAGCCTCGCAGAAAAATAATGCGTGCCATCGCGTTGACGAATGACATTTTTATCAGCCTATTGGATGTCAACGTGAAATTCCCGACAGAGTCTGTGGCCCTATACCACTTATTACGAGAGCAGGCCCTACTCTCGACCTGCAATCCGCGGCTATTCGTATACAAATGCACAATGTATAATCGTATAATGAGCGTGAGAGAATTTTCATAATACAGCTGCCGCGGATGTGTAAGATAAATTGTGCCGAGTAATGTGTACACGCGGTACATAACGTTATGGTCTCGACGGGGCAGGGTGTGGGCGTCCCGCCGTAATGTACTCGAACTACGCGTGCGCTCGTCTATATGTACGTGTGTACGTGTGTATGTGTGTCTGTGTGTGTATAAAAGCGCTGAATGTTTTATTTATAGATTACGACGATAGGAGCTACTGCTCCAGTGCTGCGGTATATCCTCTACGCATTAAATGTACGATACGAGCAAGTAAGCAGTCTTTCGCGAGCGTCGAGTACATTATGATAGCTCGGTCGAAGCGATCATCTTGCCTCCTCCTCCACGATCAGAGTCATTGCGAAGATGCGCGCCGGACATCGAACAAACGCCCTAATCGGATAAATACTCCTGTACCTGAATGATAAGTCACACGCGACGTATTTCTCGTGTGCAGGCCTGCAGAGAATGCGGGTCGAGGCTCGATTAATTTTTACAATTTATCATCGGTAATTATTTGAAGAACTTTGGTCCATAATTTAAATATGAACTCAATAATTCATGTTGAATTCAAAGTCTTACTTGCTACGAAACATCGTCAACAAGGCACTTTTTTCGATTAATACACTACGCACTAATGCGAGTGGCGACTTATTCAAATGACTCACTATACGTAACGTAATTACGCAGTTAGAATTAACGTGACTCGTGGCAAATTTTTTCATTGTTATCTCACAGTCTTGAGAACTTGAGCGGCTACTATAGCCTCGATTTCTAAGAAAAACGTGCGACATCGCGATGCTGCTTCTACTCGATTAAAAGGACAATGAAACTCTTTGACATTTTTCAACGTTTAAATGCTGCCTTACGTGCAGCGATTTGAATTTCCGCACGTTTTGTCAATTAACAGTCTGCCACAGAGGGCAGTACACTGCAGCTATTGATCGGCGACGGTACATACACATAGCACGTATCCTAATACACAGAGGCAGGAGCAGCAGCAGCGGTGTGGCGGCGACGGCGGCGGCGTCGCGACGACCACAATACTACATCATATATACGTAGCAGATGATATATACCATAATATATACGCGAGTGAATAAACTTGACGTTTCGCCGATCGAATGAATTGAAAAACAACGAAAAAACGACGCTTAAATAAGTGCGTGACATTTCGGAATTTGGTTGTTTGAATCGACACACGCCGAGAGTCTGTAACGTTTTTTCGCGATATAAACAGCGAACCTGTTGTTTACGGAGCTGAGACTCGATTATAATAGTAACCTTGCGAGTAGCGAGTCGCCCCGGTAGTTTGGAGCGTCCTACTTGAAATACAAGCTGAGTTTTACATGTGAATCGAGCAAAAATGCAGAGCAATATGACTTCTCCGATTTTGGACCTAAATGTGGATCCCTCGAGGCAGCGGTATCCATTTTGCATAGTATGGACTCCGATTCCTGTGCTAACGTAAAGAACAATTTCACTTTTGTTTACCTTTCCTTGTGCAACTTAGCTAAAGTATGATACTTTTATATTCTAGATACCTGTTGCCTTTCATCGGACATATGGGTATTGCTAATTCTGGTGGAGTTATAAGAGACTTTGCTGGTCCCTATCATGTTTCAGAAGATAACATGGCATTTGGATGGCCTACACGATATTGGCAACTTGATTATACTAAGGCTAAGGGTAGAGTACAAGGTTGGGATTCAGCTGTACACGAAGCCAGTGAAATTTATAAAGGAAGAATGGTATAATATTTGTTGACATTACTCAATGTGTACTGAATATACAAAGTCTAATTATAATCAATTTTTAGCACAATTTACTATGTGATAATTGCCACTCACACGTTGCAAGGGCTTTGAATTTAATGTCTTATGACAACTTAGTCAATTGGAATATGGTCAAGCTAGCTCTGTACATGCTGATATTTGGCAAGTTTGTTAGGTAAGTTTGACAAAAAAATATTTCAAAATTGCAATATGATGAAAGTTGCATGATTATTAATACAAATCATTTAGTTTTTCAGCAATGGTCAAAACCTGGGCTCCATTTATAGTTATAGTTACTATTATTAGTTTACTATGTACATTGACTTGAAAGACTTATTAAGAATTATTTTTAAAATTTTTTATTTAAAAAATCTTGATGTACATACTTATGTAAATAAATGGCTGTTTGTAATCTCTCACAAGTGAATAATGCATGGCAATCACAAAGGCTTTTATAAAAGAATAAATATATTATACTTTATACAAAGATAAACGAACAATTTCATGTGTACAAGAAGAGGTTATAGTTTACAAGTAGTTACTTCTTCATAACTTTAAATTATGTAAGCACTGCAACATAAGTGTTCATATAACAATCACAGGTGTAAAAATCAATGTATGTATATATAAACGGTAGAGCAAATTATTCTTCCTCGTTTTGACTGTCTAACTCGGAGATGATGTCTCTTTCAAGGCTGAATGTATACTCGTAGTCCTTAATATTAATACGCTTAATAAAAGATTCTATTTCATCTAATCTTAGTTTATCAATTATCAAATCTTCATTCATATTCCTCTCCAATTCTCGACAAAATCTGAAAGGAATATTACTAATATCTCCTGCCGGATTATCTACAGAGGCTTGTTTAGGCACATGATGACCTGCTACTTGATTAGGCAAGGAGTATGACGTCGCAGGTTGATTACCTATATTATGCAGAGAAGGATACATCCCTGGGTAAGGTGTCACGTTAGGAGGTGGGTCTTGTTGTCGCCTTTCAACGAATATGTAATCGTCGGAAGGTGGCTCGCTTTCTGTTGGGGTTTCTGTCGGGGAATCCCGATGATGTTTTTTTTTGCCGAAAAGCCACGACATTTTCTGAAAATAAACAAATTTCGTTTAAAGTTTCAAATTTCCATCATTGAATTACTCATTACATGATGCAACATTACGTACGAAGTAAGGTTACAATTATAATAAGTAAATGATACTACGTTTAACACTTCAGATCAAGTACTAGAGTTTAAAAGCGCAGGTGACATATCAGTTCTAATGTCACAATCTATCGTGATGATAAAAAAAATTAAGCGTCGATCTTACACTTGTCGTCGTCACTCGTAGCAGTAGCAGGTAGCAACTCACTGACACAAACAAAGACAACACTCGCGTTGCGAATACTAAGTGTCAATTGTGCAGGAGCGATATATGTAATGCTCTATGATGTAGTAAAATTTTTCAGGTTAGGTTATTTTCGCGAATTTGTGCACAATTTCATTTTGATAGTACCCGATCAACTCCAACTTCAAACACTTAACGTTGTGGGTTAAAACTAAATTAAAGCTTAGCAATTTGAAGCTGAGACATGATTATTTATCAAAGTTAAATTAGTATACCTATAAAATCGCTATCTTAACTTGTATTGGGATTGTTAAATTTATACTATGATCGTGATATTGGTAGACGAGCAATTTTTAGAATGATATCTTACGACGCTAAATGAGTTTTACTTTTCGTCATTGTATAGTCTCTGATTATAATAAACGATTTTTGTATTATGTATATTAGCTACTAGGATAAAATTTACCTGAGATATAAACATCTCGTTTAAATAAACTAGAATATATTTTTCTCGTTGAAAAAGTAAATAAACTTGTTTTTAGAATCAATAATTGAATATATCTATGAATTAAAACGAAAAATCAGTTCACACGATCAAAATTGTTGACTATTATTTTGGACAGTTAAAAATAATTACAAAAATTTACTATTCCTTGAGTTGAGAATTAATTCCCAACTTTGCAGCGCATTAAAAGCGATGAATCGCTAAAATTGAATCGGTTAAATTTATACAGACGAAATAAACTATTCGTACAACTGTTCGTTACAATAAATTGTTGGCCCACTACAGAAAGAGTTTTTCATTCCAATTCATGCCTTTCAAATCGAATGAATACATTTCGAACGTTGGCATATTGTTGACAAAACCAAACTTTCACTTTTGTTCTACCCTCTGAGCAAATTAGCGTAAGCAAGTAAAAGATTAGAGCCTTGTTTGCATTGAAGATTTGATTCAAGTCTTTTCGTTTTTTTGGCAGCCGTGATAAGGTCTTGATAAGAAATTGAAATATTTGGGCGTTGGAGGCGATAAGATTCAAGTTCTATTATACCGATAGAGATATTGCTCCGATCGGATATGCGCGCGATCCACAAGCGTGTAAAGTTTGGCATTATCGACGGGAGATGGCAGGCTTGTGCCGGCGTGATCCGCGGCATACCCAAGTCTTTGAATCGAATTCGAAATGCATAATGCATCGTACATCGTTCTCGACTCCCTGAGTTCCGAAGAGTAAGAAGATAGATGCAATCGTTGCGGGAAGCAGTGTCAATAGCAACACGAAGCAGATCTTATTATGAACTGTATAGCCTGTAGCAAATGTGCACGCGTGGTCGAGGGCGCTGTCGCGGAGACATTGGGAAGTTGGCGTGGAACTCGGAGTTTGAGCCTCGGCGGCCCGCGAGCGAATCCAAACAGAGCGCAACGGCTGCACAGGTGTCTTGTATGCACGACTCTGTAAGTCTGTATATTGTAACGTATACGTGTGCTTCTACGTGTATGTGTATGAGTGCGTGGCCCTGACGAGGCCACCGTACACGTACTAACGTATACAACACTGCAGCAAAATGTCGTGGATTCACGAGGCTCGACGACGATTCCGTCGACTGCCCATGTAATGCGCGCGCAGAGCTACTGCTTGCGTCGTCGGTATGTGTAAATATGCACCGACACAGGCGCGCACGAGCTTTAGCTCGTCACGAATCGCATGCACACGAATTCATGCGTCTAGCTTGGCGCAGCCTCGCAGTTCCTCTTTCTCTTTTGCTCGTGCTCGTCCTAACCTATGAAAACTCGCAGCAAGAGTAGAGCGAGAGATCGAGAGTTAAGTACATATAGCAGCGCAGCCGCCGCCTCTTTTCATCGTCGGCCAGGCGCATATACACACGCAGTGGCAGCAGCGCCTCGACGATGATGTGTGTGTACAATAATGATGCAGAGACGCGCGTGCCTGTCTGAGCTGTGCAGGCAGCAGCAGCAGTTATGTCCAGGCCGTGGTTCTATTTATAAACATACACGCTAGGCGCGCACACACACACATACACAGAGTCAGCAGACACCGAGCGATCGAGCGATCAGACGACTCGCGGCGCACGCTGCCACTTAACTCGCCTTCTGCAGCACTAGTTAAACACGACTCGTCAGTGTGTTTGTTGTCTTGTTTTTGCTGCGCGACCACAACAATAACAACAACAATAACAATAATACGACGAAAACTGTGCTAGTAGTGCGCGTAAACTTTAGCCTGCAGCTCGATGGCCTTGATTTCATCGAAAATCGACAACGTAAACAACAACAAACGTCGTGGCCTGTGTCGATGAATTGCAGCAGTTGTTGAGGTGCGGTTTACTCGCTGCAGCTTTTCAGACGAGGCTGACGAGTGTGACTGTGCTCGACGACGAGACTCGTCGATGTGGGCCCCTCGCGATCGTTCCGAGACTTTACAGCGAGGCTCTCGGGCGGCGTGTTGTATTAGTCGTCGCACGGGCATCGTCATCGCGCCACATACGTAGATAGTAAAGTGTCACTTTTACAGGCGTGCACATACGGGGCTATACAGAGAGATCAGCGTGACGCGGCGATGTTTGCGCGACAGCGACGGCGACGACGACGACGATGATGACGACGACGATGACGATTCAATTGCTTCTGCTCTCATAATGCACGTCGAAGCTGCATGAACGGCAAACGTATATAATATAGTAAAACTCTCTACTCGACGATGCACGACTCGACTTAATCGGCATTATACACGTATAACATGTGTATTGATACGGAGTCGAGAGAAGAACGTTTTGAAGAATAATATTTGTTGTTTCTCGCCTCTCCGTTGCCTCGAGTGTCCGTGCTGCTGTGCGCGTATAAAATAATACATATCTATATAACGCATGTGAATGTGCTGCCACTGCTGCGATAGTATATAATAATAATAATAACATATATTTGAGCTTGAAAACTCGTCGTCGACGACTGTACCGTTTCATGTTGTGCATCGTTTTAATACACACACACGTGCTCGCTGCTCACACATTCGCGCGCGCCAATACTCGTGCAGCAGCAGTAGGCGTCGTCTATACAGGTATAGCGAGCAAGCTATGACAAAACATCGCACACCAGTGACGACGACCTGCATTTACAGAGCCGTGCGACAGGTGCCTCCTAAATGATGCAGCTACAGCTTCTCTCTGGTTCGTATACACAAATCTATACGACAATTATCGCTTACTTTTCTAACACAATGTCGCTCTACTCTCTTCCTCGTTTTCACTCTTGAACTCTACTTCGTTTGACATCAGTTTCTGAAAGTACATATATTACGAGTTTGACGTTCGAGCGAGGAGGAGGCGTCCAAGCCAAAAATCATATTGCCGCGAGAGATTTCATTTATTGCGAGTCTCCTCCATCTCCGTGGCATCCCGATTGAACGTTAAACAAATCTCCGAGTAGACGTCGTAAGCCAAATTGCGGAATAAAACTGCTCGCTGCGTCCGACATATTAATAATTGTCTGTGCCGTGATTAATACATGCTCGTTCCTCCGTATGCGAGTCATATAGATATATCGATATGCACATACACAGACTCATCTGACACTTGCTCGAGTCGTGTTTTCATCTCTTCTCCCTTCTTCCTTCTGTGCTCCTCTCGCGCTTATGTAGCTTCATGGTCTACGTTGTTATTCAAGCTTTTGGGGGATATTTGTATTTTACGAGATTTGCGCGCAATTACGCAACGATGCGTGAACTAGCGAGCTTGCAAGCTTCGAAATGATTTTGAAAATTTATCATCGATAGAGAGGATTTTTTTGAGTTTCTCTTAAAATGTTCGCATTATCGAACGTGAATTCGAGTCCGCGACACGAAAAAGCGCTTGGAATTCAGCAGACGGGTCTACCCTCGACCATCGCCACTGTGTTTATATTCACGCCCGCGGCATGTGCACGCGCGAAACTAGTCGAGTCACGAAAGTATGCATGCACGAGGCTACCTATATACCAATGAAAACGGCTCGTTGTCTTTTATATTTGCTCCGTTTTTGGTATGCATACATCGATAATTGAACGGAGAGAAATGTAACTTTTTTGATTCCGATTCATAATAATTTGTTAAGAAACTCGTAATTGATATAGAAGTTAATCTCGGCGCACGCGAGCTACGAATTTGCGCAATTATAATATTATATTTATTCTTATTCGGCTTCTAATATCTTTCTGTTTTGTACTAATAGTGAGATAGCACGCATCGGGTTTGCGAAATGCTTGTTTTGCACAATTTCTCGTATTTTAACGCGCATACGCGTGCATATGTGTGTCTGTTCGTGTTCGCGTCGTCCGACTCACGAGTATCGTCACAGGCTGAAAAGTTGCCACGTGTACACAACTTTCGTATGACTTAAAGGCAGAAAATAAGTTGCATATAATACGTCGCGAGCTAGCACATATTACAAATGGGCCTTAAGGGTTCGCTGCACTCGGCCAAGGTCCATCCGTGCGTCCCTGCGCGCATTAGTCTATTTTTTTCTCTCTTCTTCGAGCGCCAAGCTGTTTATTCGGCCGGCGAGGCATTCCATCCGAGCTCGAGGTCCTCCATCGGCGAAACCAAGGAGAAAACAAAGTATACTGCGCGCGCGTGCATGTATGTGTGTACGTGCAGCATCGGCAGTGACTGTGTAAATTCAGGATAAAAGAATGCACCGTCGAGAGAAGAAGCAGCGGCGGCGGCGCGAATAACCCACCTTCTTTTCGACGTATTTCTTGGAATCAGCGGGCTTGCGCCCTTCCAGTCTTTTTCGTTCTCGTTAAATGACTATACTGTGAAGAACAATGCGGAGAGACTTCCTGAGACCTCAGGATGTCTGAGCGAGCGAATCTTCGAGCCACTACGGCATTTTTTTACACAAGATGACCATTTTAACATGTCTTGTGATCTCGAAAGCGGAGCTTAAATATTATTTCTCTCTAGCAGCTTTTTCATTTTGTCACATTGATAATTTTTAGATGCGACGCTAAGGATCTTACTTATCAAAAATCCATACATAAGTAATTCTAATGGAAGTTACGATTACTTTTTAAAATGGTTGTAAATTATAAACTTCATTTTAATATTTCACGTAAATACATTATTTGAATTAATTTTTCTGTAAATTGTATCTTACTCGGAGTATTTTTTCAACCAACGAAAATCCAGCGACGAAATCCCATGCATTAACTACGTTCGTATTTATGTACAGCTCATATGTTTCGATAGTAAAAGTCCTGCTGCATAGAAGGTAGTTTAATGAAAAATTATCCTGTTCTGTCAAACGTCTGAAAGTCCGCAAATATGAAAACTATTCAATGCGATAAATTAGAAATTGAGCACTCAAGCTAGGTAGAAAAATACAGCAAATTATAATTTCCCCGACTGTATGTTCACGTATAGTTGTTTCCATTAGCCGAACAAATTCAAACTGAGACATGCCATTTTTTTTAATGAATATGCCATACTGCACATTTTCATTAAATTTATTGTGCTCTGTTAAATTTAGATGAAAAATGAGTTGGGTCTAATAGAAACCATTGCATTAAAATTTAATGTATTGACTAGTCACAGCCATGTTGTTTCTATCCAATTAACGTGATACCAAAAATCTTTCCTTGCTCTACGAGGAACAGTTCGTAGGATTAGTCTAAAATGAGACTAGGAAGAGAAAGAGAAAGAGAGAGAGAGAGAGAAAGGCAGCGAAGAACGTATAAAATTAACTCATCACTATTTGACAGTTCAGACGATAATTATCGAAAATACTGCGCAGTTCGACTCGGCCGTTGCAACTGTATTTATACACGCTCTCAAGAGATTAATTTGATTGTTCTTTACTTCTAGTGGGAATTTATTTTGCAATTAAAATACATATCAATTCAAAATAGTACTTTTCACGATTCTACTTGTATTATCACTTGCTTCATTTACTGAAATTAATATTTGGTCGTATGTTGGAGTTTTGAAAACTATAAAAATGAAAATATTTTTACTTTGAGCGAACAATTGACGTATTTAGCAGATTTTTCAGTATATATGAAGTACATATTTCATAACTATCCAAAAAATGTTGCACATACAAATTAGCTTTTAATTCTCATAAATTAAAATTGATATTGTGCAGCCATAAAACGCTATCTAAGGCTTTATTCTAGTTTTTTAGACCATTTTAATAAAACAATCGATGCAAATAGTACATTTTTCATGTCTCATAATATTAATTAATTTTTTTCAGTCAATCTTCAAATACTCAGGTGATAGCAAGCGAGAAAAAAAGAAAATAAGTAAATGCAGTGTACAGTGCGTTACAAGAAGCCAGAATGTCCAGGAATTGTCCACCCAAAAAAGCTATCCTAGCCAAAGGTTTGTTTTTTTTTATTTAGATGAATCACCATTTTTATCATGTAACTTTTGTTACCTTTTCCAATTAATCTATTTTAAAAGTATTTTCTACCTATATAAAACGCAGCTTAAAACGCGCATAAGTTGCACGGTATGATGAACAGAATCTGAGAATGTAGGTGAATTTTTTGAAGCGATCGAGCTCGTCGCATTATTGATAGCCGTCCAGTGCGAGCCAAACCAAGTATACACGTAATGTACACGCGATCGAGCTATTATCGATACTTTGTGCATGTTAAAAGTGCGACAATACGTACATGATACGATGTATCATATGTAACGACAGAATACACACGAGTGATTTCGGAGAAATAAAAAGACGAGCACTCCTCGAAGGTTGGACTAATTTTAGCGGGTCATCGCGGAATAAGCCAAGCGCAAAAGGGCTTTCGAGACTCGATTCTTTCATCGCCAGCGAATTCACTTATTACGCGTCCCAGTTACGCATTTCCAATCAGTGAAAAGCATGAGGAACGCATCGCCTTGTCACCTCTTGCCTTAATGAGCTTTATACTCAATTAAATATTCAGATAGGGGTAGGAAAAAAATTCAAGTTGATCAAGTATATGATTTGACTACGTGATCGAAAGAAGATACTTTATTAGAGTTTATCAATTTTTATATCGTTAAAGGTAAAAAAATGAATACAATGATCTTCTGAAGTATTTCTTGATGTTATAAATTATAAAGAATAGAACAAATTTCAAATAGGTTTTCAAATACAAAATGGACACTTCAATTATAGATGCGTAAAATTGTAAAAAAATTTTAAATTAGATTTAAAATTCGATTAAAAAAACTAAAACAAACCGCTTGAAAGATTATGTATCAATTTCATCTCAGTAGTTTTAATTTTTAACGCGATAGACAACGTTTTTGATTCCATGAGTGACTTAAGAGAGTGTGTTGAAAATATATAATAAAAACAATAAAGTTTTTTTAATTTGATTCTGAAACTTAGTGAGTATTGATCTAAAACTATTTTAACTCCGCGAGTTTTGCATAAATCGTTAAATCATATTAAATTGAAAATTTCTATGCATTATCTTACACCATATTAAAGTCTCGTTGGCGCACGTTTAACAATTGATTGACAAATGAAATCGCGTCAAAAAATAAATGTAGATTTTATTTTCCTTCTAAAAAATATTGATTGTATTAATGTTATATTTTAATCTAAAATAGTTATTGTTTGATAAATTTTATCGCCTGAATTAAAAAAAATAACTTCACTTTTAAGGTCAACCGACAAAAAGTATGGCTTATCTTTTTGCAATAATGATCCGATACTTTTTTACACCTCGGTACCAAAATCTTTCTTTGATATTTTTACAGTTATCTAATTTAGAGCAATTAAATTTGAATTCGTGTACAGATTTTTTAACCGAAAAAATAGTTAAAATTAGTCAACTCTTTAGCGAAGATAAGCGTGAATGAAGAGAACGTCAATGAGGTAGCCTTCGTGAGATTTGGCATTGGCGTAAAAAAAATGAATATCTATAAATATAACATATCACATGATGAACAGTCAAATTTTACGAAAATTTTTCAACACTTTATAAAAATTTGTCTTTAATTTATTGAGTGCTAGGCACTAGGCTGTTCGTAGCTGTCAACATCGCACCATGTCACGATCTCAAAACGATTTGGGTAAAGTAAATATAATATTTCTTGACGTCCTTGCCTAGAAAAAAAGACAAAAAGTTAGAAATAGTGAAAAAAATCTATAATTTAGAAAAGTTAAAAGAAAAATGAAAATACCTTTGCGGACAGTGTCACAAATTTTCTGCTGCGAGGCACATTCTCAACAGATCCTCGTTCATCAGCTGACGGATGATTATGTCGCAGCAGAGAATCGGCAGCTGATAGCACGTCAGCGACAAGAAAAATTCCAATGCCCATCGCCGGCAAAATCTTCTGTAAATTATGTCGCGCAGGTACTTCGTACACGCGTCGAGAAATTCCCACGTGATAATACCTTTATTCAAGTCAATGAACGACATCCAATCTGTAATGATAAATACTTTCGACGCCTCTTCGTATGGCAACCGAATCAGGTCGTAAAGCGACAAGGTAGGATTTATCTTTAGGTTCTTCACGAAGCTTTCATCAGCTTTATTATTGTTCAAGTATTTGTCGAGATTTATTGGCTGATTATTCACTCCGCACTTAGCGAACAATTTCATGATCGTAAGGGCGCCGATTCGGTCGAGTTCGTAGCCTCTTTTTTCGAGGCGCTCGACCACGGCCAGGGTGCGAAACGCTCGATCCAATTCGAACAAAATTTTTGCGGATACGAACTCGTTAAAATCATCTTCGGTGGGAAAAACGAAGTTGGACAGATCTGCGCCACCATCCAAAATAACATCTACCACATTCAGCAAGGAATTCGCGACGGCCAATTGGAGGGGTGTCCGGCCCAACTTGTCCCGAGCATCGACCTGCACAGTCTGTCCAAGTTTTTGATTCATCCGGAAAAATGTCTTTGCCACGTGATCATCGTCGTATCTTTTGCAAATGATATGCAGAGGAGTTAAGCCATCCACGTCGGCCATATTCTGGTCGGCGCCTCTTTTCATCAGCAATTCGGCTATCACAATGTAACCATCATCCAGAGCCACGTGCAGCGGCGTCCAACCTTTCTTGTCCTGGGCGTTGACCTCTATCGTCTGCTGCACGTAGTCGATGGTTTTTAAAAACGTCCATGCCAAGTCAGACCAGCAATAAGAGCAAGCAATGTGAAGAGGAGTTTGTCCGTCTTCGTTGGTCAAATTCGCGTTGGCGCCATATTTCAGCAGTAATACAGCCACCTTCTTGTTATATTTTCCCAAAGCCAAGTGTAACGGTGTATTGCCCTTCTTGTCCTGGACGTCGAGCTGCACCAGCTGATCAAGTTCTGCATTGATGTCAAGGAATATTTCCAGAGTTTTGATATCGTCGCCGTATCTCTTGCAAATATTATGCAGAGGAGTCGATCCCTCCTCGTTGGCCAAGTTTGCATTGGCGCCTCTTTTCAATAGCAATTCGACGACCTTGAGGTGTTTTTTCTCCAGAGCTGCGTGTAGCGGTGTATTTCCCAACTTATCCCGAGCGTCGATTTGCACCGGCTGCTTTACATCGTCGCAGATCTGAAAGAATAACTGCATCGATTCAAAGTTGCTGTCTTTTCTTGAGCAAAGAGCGTGCAGAGGCGCGAATCCGTCTTTGTTGGTTAAATTGGGACTGGCGCCGCTCCTCAGTAGCAATTCGACTATCTTCTTGCGTTCGTGCTTCAGAGCCAAGTGCAGCGGCGGATCAACCGAGCTCGCGTCCGATTCTTGCGACAGACAATTCGGATCCTGTCCGAACTTGAGAAATTCCACGACTTCGTCGTAACAGTCGTACTGGCAGGCCACATGGAAATGAGTGAGTCCGAAGTCGTCGGTGTAGTTCACGTCGACTTTATATATTTTCAAGAGGTCTCGAATTCTGTACTTCATTAAAAAGCTGTATTCGCCTCGGGCCGCCCAGTGTATCGCAGTGGTTCGACGCAACAGTGGCTTGCCGTCTTTACCTACGTCGGATTTGTCTTTGTAGCCGTTATTGATGAAAAATTCGATGATTCGATCTACATCACTCATGTCGAGTACTTCCAAGTTTTTTATATTCTCTATGAGAAGCCAATCGATTTCTTCGCGCTGAAAAATCTCTCGCAGTTTCGGACGTTTGCCCGACCACTTTTTGGTTAGATGATAAAGCTGTTGGAGAAATGTGCGTCGATCTTCTTCAACCGACCAGTTGACCTGCTCACGCAGAGTTTTTAATCTTTGCAAACTGTCCTGCTTGTTATTGACCATTTTTCTATACACAGACGCTCACACAACAATCAACCGCTTATAATTTCCAATTTTTTCACTTGTCACAAGAATCACTCGCGGCAGTCGATGCGACGATACCTTTGTTTGCGCGGTGTGGTATTGAACTGAAAGGTGTACTGTGTAGACTGGACTAAACGTGCGGCCGGCGGCGTGACATTGCCAACTGCGCGCCACCACTGTAACCACCACATTCTTCAAACGAGTCAAGACTTGAGCCGCGCGCCCAAACGATATTGTAAACATCTTGCGCGACAGAAAACGAGGTACAGATGTCAGGCATACGAGGGGTATGTCTCTCTCGCGCTTTATGCAAGATAATACATAGAAATACGTATGTGCTCACAATACGTAAGACTCTACGCACTATCATGCATGTTTTCAAATCTGATATTGATTTATGAATGTACACTTGGTGTAAAACGATTCGTTTCCCGTCAGGAAGCGTAAATAGAGCGAACGAGGGGCTCTGCCTATGCTGACCCGTGTACTATTGTTATTGTGGCCGCTTATGTTATACACGCAGGCGGCCCTCATTAGGCTTTGTTTAAGTTTTCTGACGGAAAACGAATCGTTTTACACCTAGAGTAGATATATTGTATAGGTCAATACGTGTCTATGAGTATGTGTCTTCTTAAGGGAAGTCGACATTTTTATTATGTTATGTTACATTAAATACACAACGATGCCCGCTTGATCGCACTATATCAATATCTTAATTCATCAATAAATGATTTAAAAAAAACATTAAAATACTATTGCTCAAAATTTATCTAAAATAAAAATAAATAAAAAGCTATAAAAATTAAATGATCATACCAATCAATTAACAAATCAATTAATTTTGATTGGCACTCGCTCGTACTTATCAACTTTGCTTATCCTCACCGAGATTTTCAAATTTACTTGAATTCTTTGTAATCGTTGTTTTCTTAGTTGAATATCAATAAATATTAGCTTTTTTACGTCGATACTCGTCTCTAGCCATCTACGGCAATTTAATTATCGATAAAGTTTTCATTTTAACAATTACTTTCAAAAAAGTACTTTTAAAAAAGTTGTCATTTCAATCGCTATTTTATCAGCTTTCTCGACTCGAGTCAAAAGTAACTCGAATAATTATAATCTTTTTAAGCGGCTTCATTTTTCGGCTCATCACTTTTTTAATAGTGAAAAATGAAAATGAAATTTAGAAAATGAATGAATGAACGAATGAAAAAAAAAATGAGAACAGAGAAAAGATTAAGAAAATTGCGTGTTAATTAATATATTTTGGCTTTATAAACATTTTTCTTTCCAATCTTAACATTTTTAAATAACTTCTGAATATACAAATTAAGAATCGGATTTTAGTATTGCAACAAAATAGAAATCATTAACAGAATAATTCTTATTTATATGTAAAAATATAACAAATGCGGTTCTTGTATTATTATTATGATTCTCTTGGCACAGTATGCACACTAACACGCATTAGACGCAGGCTTCAGATTCATTTATACATTTTATTCTCAGAACTCTCTACAGGGTTTATTTAATTTTAGGTTCATCCGGCGTTAAATGAATTTCAATGTTTCTTGTAACAATTTGCTATTTCGGTAGAGTCATAGGTTATGTATGACACTCGAATTTTATGGTCAAATGACTCAACTAAAAAAATTTTTAATTCTCAATCAATAACGTGTAACATGAGAAATAGATCGAATTCATCAAAATAGAAAAATATTGTTTGATTAAAATTTAAAATTTTTCTAATGCCCGATGGACTAATCTTAAAATTTATAAATTTTCTATAATTTGAAAAATGTATTGTTATTACTTTCAAGAATCAAAATGATCATTTTTTGACATCGAACTTGTTATTTTGATAATTTATGTGAAAGTTATAATTGTAAATTTTTTAATATAATTTTAAATATTTCTTAAGTAAACAGCATTTTCTTTTTTTAACGCCTCAACTTCTCTCTTTGTCTTTCTGCTTTCGTAGAACGATCCGAGTCTATATTTAGACTAAGTCAGGAATAACGCCAAGGCCATCGCAATTGCGAAACAAACGAACAAGAAAGCTAATTATTAGTTCAGTTTAGCATTAATCAACAATATTCGGTCTGACAGCTCATCAATTTGACGTGATTCTTAATTATTTGTAAGTTGTGACTGTCCGTGTACTTACCAACTCAATGTTCAATTTTATTTGAAATCGGTAGAATTTCGATCGCACGCAAAAGGTTGTTTAACCAACGATCGTCTTATATTTAATAATAATATGTACCTGGTGTGTTGTAAAAAAAAAACATATAAAGTACAAAGTGAGTTAAAATTAGTAGTGATAAAATAAAAGCTTGCTAAAAACCGATGCATATTAAGTTTTAAAAATAACACGATCGAAGGTCAGTCGGTAGAGCACCATTCTTTTTATAGCCGATCCATCAGATACAAAGGTACAGTTATGTTCGTCAAAAGAATGCAGAAGGTATTCCATGACGTTAAATGTATCTTCTTGTTTTTTTTTTAAATTTCCAAGATTTTATTATTTAATTTTTTAACCACTAAGCCATTAAACTGTAATGAACTATAAAAATATTCTTGTTATATATTGAGTAAAGTTATGACACTTTTATGAAGCTATAATTAGAATATCTATTTACGACAAAGTCTATTAATCGAACAAACTCTAGGATATTGGTAAAATATTTTGATGTACCGCAATTGGTGTAAAAAAACCACTGAAACCGTATTGTCTAACACCAAACAAAAAACAAACGTCATTCGTTTTCTTCGAGAAAAAAAAGCTAGCGCACGACGTCGATTCGTTGTGAGTTGGATCATTTTTCCGTGCAGCTACATCGAGTGTATCGCAAAAATAAAAGTGCGAGCTTGAGCGATTTTTTTTTCCAACAATGAAACAGTAGCTAAGTCACGATGTAAGCGCGTATTTCCGCAGCGTTATAAATAAACTTTGCTTCTTGTTTGCAGGTAACTTGCTGTGCCGTTGCATTATGCATGTGTGCTGTATGCGGCACGCTATTATGCATTGTATGCGCACAAATTTACACGCTTCAACTTATAATGATGTGCAAGTCTATTTATTCAAAAGTGCAGTACGCTGCTTATTATCCATTTTTTCTACCCGCCTGTAAATTGTTGCATTACGGTGACATAATTGTTTTGTCAATTGTCAGAGGCTTAGAAGTGTTCGGGTTGGGTAGGCGCAGATTACGCCCCTTATGACTCACTGAATCGTAAATAAGTTTCCAAAGTATGTATTGATTTTCACTTCACCTTACAACCAAAGATCCTTCGTAAATTATTACTGCGTGGCAATCGATTTTATTAGTACATTTTCATCAGGAGATTTTTACTTTTATTGCGTAATGGTTCTTTTTTTCTTGCGAATGAAAGGGAAATAAAGCCAGTAGATGATGTGACATGCTTATTTTGTTCGGATAATTCACGAGTTACTTTATAAGAATTCGATATGTATAAAAGCTTCTATCGTATTATGCAAAGTTAAAAATAGATCGGGCATAAGTCGATTGAGTAAAGAACGATTTACATTCAAGGCAGCACAAAATGTATGAAAACTTGTCTCTAATGTTTATTTAAGCTTGCTGTACAGATGAATGGTGGGTTGAAGTTTTTTTTAATACTCATATAAAAGTTCAAATTTGAAAATATCATCTTTGAATCCTTATTAAAATTTTTCCTAAATTTCACATTAATAGACTTTTAATAGTTTAATCAAATCAATTGAAATGTTAAAAAGTATATTATAACCAAATTACTTTTCATCGGTATCTATTTAAAACATATCTACAAAAGATCAATTGTATTATGAATGACATGTAGTTTGAATTATGACAAGCATTCTAAATATAGTCATTTATCGAACGGTATAAAACAAGAATGAGCGTAAAAGAGAGACCCCTTGACTGTAAAAGCTCGATTCCTTGTACGTGATGTTTCAATGCTTCGAGCATACGCACCCTATAACTGTAAATATTTGATGATAAAAGGTTCGTTTGCGGGTAACAAAAAATTTACATGGAAGTTTCGTCGATATTTTGCTGTGTCATTTTTTGACTCTGAATTTTTTGGTGCCATGAAACAAAAATCGAGGTAAAAAAAGTCAGCGATGAATGCTCACTGAAACTTTCTGCTTGAAAAAAATGAAAAGTAAATATAGAGGTATTCGTATGCACGCTCGCCGGACGCTAAACCGAATGTAAAAATTCTGGAAAATTCGAAGCACTGCGGCGTATTCTATATTTCCATAAAAAAAATTCAGAGTCAGAGGTGAAACAATGATTGTTCCTCGATCGAGATTTATCCTTGCGTACGCAACATCAATGCGTGCGCGATATGAATTTCAATAAAGCTCCGACGCTTTTCGCGCGGAATTCTTCCATTCGCAATTTTTCAGAGTTTCGCGAAGCAATTGTTACGATATCGAGCGAGAATTATTTATAACGAATCGCAAGGCTATTCGAGAGATCACGCATGCGTGTGTGTAAGCCTCATTTTATGAATAACAAATGTGCCGCGCGCTGGAAAATTATATGGAAAAATGCGTCGCGCAGCGAGTACCATATTCGTTTTGCGGAAGCCCGCACCAGATATAATATGCACTTTACAATGGTACTGATCCAGTCTCGATGCGTGTATTATTATTATGTACGTACTCGATCGAGCGCTTCATTTTGAGTTGACACTACTTACGTTGCATCTCATAAACGTCGAGCGTAAGCAAATAAATCGTAGAATTTTATGATTTCATTTGTCACCGCACGAGTTTCATTGTCAATGTCACGGGGCACACTCGCACGCACGCACAAGCACACGTACATAGCCGTAGAGATCGAGATTACATATTTATGCATTCATAACGCTGCGTATGCATTTCGCGCGATAAGCAAAAGCGAGAAATGAATCAAAGCTCGGCGAAAAAATAAATATGTACGATATGGTAATGTTATATCGTTCTGATGTCATAATCATATTGTTTGCACGTATAGCAATACTTAATTTATTTCTTTGGAACTTAGCAGCGTACAGTTATGAAACATAGAGACAATACATTTTGATGCTTTTTTTCTCGTAAAATTGTACCCTTTCGAAAGATTGAGAAAAGTCAATAAAAGAACTTTATCATTATGTGTTGTCGAAAATCATAATCGTTACGATTGTTCGTTGATAATTTTATACAGTCTAAAATCTGGAAAAATTCTCAACTATACATTTATACCGTTGCATCGTATTGACTATTGGTCACGCTTTTTGGCTTCATGAGGTAATACAAACGTATAGAGAGCAAAAATAAAGTATCGCACAACATCTACGATCGTGCGACGATTCATGAATGTTTGAATTATCCTACGCACGCGGGTACGCATAAGCTTGCGAGCGAGCTTAAATAAAATATGATTCGGGGTGCTTATGTGCGGCAGCACATCGAGGAAGCTCTTCGATGACAAATTGTCATGCGGAGTGGGTATAATTATTTGCATGAAGTGGAGAACAAAACCACCTGTTCCGGTTCGTATACTTCTATATACGTGCTTGCGCGAAAGTGCACACGCGTGACAATTGGCGTACTGCCACGCTTGTTGCGCACTTCGTCATTCCGTTGTTACACTGCTGCAGCTTATTACTAGCTCCGAGTGCCTTTTCATCAATTTTCTATACT